ATACTCTCTGGTAGATTGTTCCAAGAGTTCACAATTCTCACTTTGAATAAGTCTGCCTTCACAGTTTTCTGGTCATGTGGCTTCTTCAACCTTGAGATGTGACCCTTTGTGGTGTGAGCGTCTGCCAGCTCCAGGTATGAGCCCTTGACTGAGTAGTGCCCGCTGAGATGTTTAATCTTACTCATCCACTCATTACCTCAATCACTCTTACTCGCTCACTCATTCATACAAGCTTCCGTCAGCATTGTGGCAGTTTTGAACCCCTAGTTGTGACCACTTAACCTAGTTAGCACAGAGTTCACATTCGTGTCTTGGTGAGTGTCTGGGTGTCATTAAAACCTCAGAAACACCTAACTTACCTGTATTATAAGGAGATAATTTCAAAGCTGTACTGTATCCATGTATCTCTTTTATTGGAATTGCGTGATGTCGTTTTCCTTTCAGTAAGACTGCTGAAGAAGAAGACCGTAAGGTGAGAACTTTTGACAAACATGTCTAACATTGTCCTGAAGAGGTGGAAGAGAACTGAGGGTGTTGTGAACGAGAGCTACACACACAGTGATGGCCACCACGATCAGAGTACACAACTATCGGAGGTCACACTAACAGGGCATCTGGGACGTGAAGCTCAATCTCCTATAGAGATGACAAAGAGCGCAGGAGAGGCAGCAAGTAATGGAGGTGATGACTCACACTTACCCAACACGTTGACGGAGGACAACCGGAATGAGGGGGAGGCGGGTGGTGGAGTCTCTCCCTGCTGTAACTGGTCCTGGATGGTCGTCCTTGGAGCTACTTTATTGATGGTGAGTCGAAGGTGGCTAGGGAGAGACCAGGGTGGAGGGTGACGGATAGGAGCAGGTTAAGGTGGTAAGGAGGAGCAGACCAGAGTGGGGGGTGATGAAGAAGAGCAGGCCAGGATGGGTGGTAAGGAGGAATAGGCCAGGATGGAGGGGAGTGATGAGGAACAGGCCAGGGTGAAGAGTGGCAGACCAAGGTGGTTAGGAATGGCCAACCTATATGACCTATGGCATCCCTACCAATCACGTCCGTCGTTACATGACCAATACCATTCATTTAAAAATAGTGATACTACTACTACTGCCTGGGTGACGTTTGGAGACATGGGTTACCACAAGGGGTGTAGGAACACATTTCCGCAACTGTACCAAGATAGGGGAAGAAACATACAATAAAGATGATTAATTAAAAATGAGGTTGAGTATCTGAACACTTTAACAGAACATAAACACATGAACCAGTCCTTGGGGTTCACTCAAGACATGACCAAAATTATGTTAACACTGATACAAATTATAAGGAGCACTTGGCCTTAGTTCAACGTCAGCAAAACAAATATTCACCTTTAACAGGACCAATTTTCAGTTGAAAAGGGACTGGTAACATTATATGAGGGGCGCACCCAGAAATTGAGTAGGGGGGTTTCCAAATTACTGAGAAGTCTGGCAAGTGTAGCAAGCCCCTTCAGCTGGGGGGTTCGGAAATTTTTTTTAAATCTGACCAATATTTAACGCCATTTGCACTGAATCTTAGGAAATAATCTGAGGTTGAAGTTGGTATAATTTAGCATCCTAATCTTTGTATATAGACTTATATTACAGGATAATAGAAGTCATAAATTTTTTTTTAATATTTTATTTACACAATTTTAAAATACTACATGAATTTACTGCACTAAATATAGAGTATATAATATGGTTATTACTGTACTGAATGTGTAACAATCATTAAGCATTTTAATACTTGTATATAATGACTAACTAACATTGATCACTAACAGAGCTCATAAAATTATGCTTAACAGTTTTTGAACACCCGTAAAATACATTGCCTTTATTTTTCTGCAAGTACATTGACAAATTTCACCTTCCTGGGATTTCTCTGTGCAAATGTGTCAATTACTTGGTTTATATATCCACTGGTATATCTCAATATTTCACACTGTCTGGCAGTGCTGTATATTAAGTGCATTCAGGTGCATGGGAATGGCAGAGGTGGTGGAAGTTACCGTGGCGTGGGGTGAGGTTGACCCAACCTTCGTGTTACTAAGGTGTCGCCAGGTCAGGTATGGGTTGGCCGCACCATGCAGTACCTGGAGGGGGGGTTTCCGGGCAACCAGGAAACCCCCCTGGGTGCGCCGCGTCTGAAGGGGGGTGAAGAGCCAAATTCAAAAAGTTGAGAAAAATGCGTTTAAAGTTTTTCGAAGTTCAAACAACCATAACTCTTTTGTTTTTTAAGCTAGAGGGTTCATTTTTTTTATCGTGCAGCTCAATCCCTCTCCTAGCGAAGAGTGAAAACTAGAGTTAGTACATGTACTGTGAATTGTTCTTATTTTATCGTGAGTTGAATGAGAATAAATACCCGTGATGAACAGTTGTTTGATCTTCAAACCAACAATAATCGCGTTTTTATGCAAAATTTTCTTATTAGTGTGGGACAATACTGTAAAACAAGTTAATGATCACCAAAAACAGCACTCGTCTTACACCCACCCTACCCCCATAAACTACCCCAAACCCCTAAAAAATGAAATAATAATAAAAAAACTCATTTGCCTATCAATATTTATCTTTCCGTCCCTATTATTAGCCAGAGATTTATAATATTTGTTAAGTATAATAGTGTGTAATAATAAGGAAACCACTACACTCTTCCCTCCCACCAATAACCTCTCCCCCGCCCCCAACGTAATTAACATACAAATACAAAGACGGCATGTTTCCCTGTTGTGCGCTGTAAACGCTTCTGCGCTTCCCCTTACACAAGGATGTAGGGGTGGGGGAGGGGGGGGTGCCCAATAAAAAAAAAATACAAAGGTGGAGAAAGTTTGCATAATCTTTGGTAAAAACAGTATTATGATGATAGTATTACAATCTTACTTTGTTTAGTTCCTTCGTTTTATTATCCCTGAAGATTGTAGCAACTTGAAGTTACGTAAATCCTGAGGAGTGCGTATAACTTTAATAGCCTCTTCATAATCAATCACGTACTGATCAAAGTCTTAAACTGCCCTCTCTAAAAATCGCTACACAGATTCTTCATCAACTAAATCATTGATTATATTAATTATTGATGCCGGCAACAGTTCGGTTGAGCAGTGAATGGTAGTGTTCTTTCCAGTGCTGAAGGATTCCTTCTTCGTCTTTAATTAGTGAGTTACCGTCGGATGAGGGGAGGGGGCCATGACGAGTGATTGGCTCATAAAATGTTTCAGGGGAATTGAAAAATTCACACATATTGTGTTGCTCTGCAAGGTTTTGCATTTCACACGCTTTGTTTTTCAACCATTTGTTCTTTAGATTGTGAAGTTTGTGCTTGTCTGCCACTTTCTTCTTGTGGAAGGTATCACCTTCGACCCGAGACTGAGGGTTGTTCTGCCAGTCAGTTAAAGCAGCACGTTTATCATCGACTAGTACATTGATATCCATGTCATTTTCATCAAACCAGTCCTGGTGTATTCTTTCGATCTGGCAGAGGGTCTCTCTGCATGTTTTTGTCATGACAGTGTCGAGAATATCCCATTCAACACTGAGATTTGGGTTTTTTGTTGTCGGGTTGTTTATCAGCCCATGTTTGAGCTGCATTCTGAAACCATTCACTAATGCTGGATCCTCCAGAAACTTGGTGTTAAAACCTCTTCTGGAGTCTTATTGCCTTCACCATTTTGGGGCGACGTGAAGCGAGAGTTTGGCTCTGACGAGCCAATGATCAGTGCCACGCATGGCTCGTGTGATGAGGACATCTCGGCGATTTCTTTTTCTGACAATGATGTCACTGAGATGCCAGTGTTTGGATTGTGGGTGTTGCCACGAACCCTTAAACTTGTCGGCCTGCCTAAACAAGGTTGTGTGCAGCACACTTGCTGAGGAGGAGTAAGCTGTTGGGATTACACTTGCCTAGTCCATTTCTCCCTATGGTTCCCTGCCATATGTCAGCATCTCTGCCAACTCTGGCATTGAAGTCACATAGAAGCACAACCTTATCTTCTCTGGGAATAGAGGTTAGCACTTTGTCAAGGTCGGCATAAAAGGCCTCCTTGATGTCATCCTCTGCATCTAATGTTGGGGCTTATGCACTGATTAAGAAGGTATGGCGTGGGTGATTCAGTGGGACTCGGAACTTCATCAGGCTCTTTTTGATCCCAACAGGCATTTCATTTCGCCTATGTAGGATAGATTGGAGAATGTCAGAGCCAACTCCGTAAATGCAGTTCCTCTCCTTAGCAAGCTTACTCTTCCAGAGGAAAGTATAGCCTGTATGTATATTATGTATGCTGTATTATATATTATGTATGTATATTATGTATGTGCTCCATTTATATATATTATTTATTCAGCCTAGCTAGCAGCGTGTGGCAATGTAATTACCATGTCCCACATGCTTAATTAATGTGCCTGGCGACATATGGAAGCTGTTAATGTATCACTTGCCATACGTCGCCTATAGAGCAGTTGACCAGCAGACAGGTTGAGGAGCACTACTCCCCTTGTGTACATATCTCTTATCCAGTAAATTGAACCTACAAAATTATACAGGTGTTTGTGTTCGCTCCTGTATATTGAACTTATTACCCAGAACACGAACATAGCCTAACCGCTATTCTGTGATTTTTTTATTTATTTTGTTTATATTTTGCCACATACAGTGGGTAGTTTATTGTGCACCCCCATAATCATCCACTGAGCAGTAGCACAAAAGGATTACAGAATACAGTTCACAAAGGGTCTGTATGACTAACCCCCATGGTCAGGATATTGTGGGGGTAGCTCATGAGTTACACACATGTTTTGTGGACGCCAGAGCATAATATGAATGTGTGCAGATTAATATACTAGCCGTGCAATTGTGACCCTGACATGACGGGGTTCCTTCTTCTCCTTCAGCTGTTGACAAACATCATAAGCAGCTGCTTCGGTATCATCTTCTCCCCCTTCCTCCTGCAGCTGCATACGTCATCCACCACCATCACAATCATCTACAGTGTCTTGCAATTTATGTGGAACAGTTCTGGACTTTTTGTTGGTCCGCTGGTGGAGGAGTTCAACTGGAGGAAGGTGGCCATGGTCTCCTCCTTCCTGTCCTCATGCTCATTCATCCTTTCTGCCTTCGCCACCTCTCCCTGGCAGCTCCTCTTATCGTTCTCCATCTTGGGCGGTAAGGCTCATGTGGTTATCATTAACTTATTTAAGAAAATTTTTAATCCCAGCATTATGCCATGAACACAGTGAACGTTGAAGTTGTTGGCAGCAAGTATTATAGACTCAAATACTGTACAGTACCCACAGTGGTTGTTGATAATATATTGTAAAGAACATAACATATATTTTTGCTGATAGATGACATCATGCAATGGTCAACAAGCCCCTAGCTATGATACTTAAATGAAACATGATACTGAACCTTCAAATGCTCCTTCCTTCCGAGATGCTTGAACATGTAAACTAGCCGATAATTTTATGGAATTTCTTCACTTCTCGGTTCAAGAATGGGGAGGGAGGCGACAGAGATCATACATGGGTAGATAAACATTGACAAATTCCAGAAATGAGTAAATGGGGAAAAAGTTCAGGCCAAGGTCAGCTTGTAACCTGACAACATAAGTGGTAAGTTACCACATCGAAGGATTACATAGTTAGAGCTACCAACACAACGCTGTAATTAGTGGTTCTTACATGTAGACATGGGGAAGCTGCTTTATGTATATTGTGTATAAATCATTTTGTTAATAAATACATTTTAGTAATTATAAATATTTTCAGGATTTTGTTACGGCTTAATGACAAGCCTCAGCTACCTCATCATCCCTCATTACTTCACGCGCTGGAGGGGTGTAGCCAATGCCTGTGTCGTGGCTGGTATAGGCATTGGGCAAATGATAGGGCCGATTCTGGTAGAATTCTTACAGAAGGAGTATGGCTATGTCGGCGGCACTTTACTCATGGGCGCTGTCCTTTTTCACGCCTGCATCGGGGCCTCCCTTCTTCGTCCCATCCAGAATCAGACCATAACAAACACCTCGGTGCAACTTGTAGAGCCAGAGTCAAGAACCTCTGGTGTTGTCACTGCAGAGAAGAAATGGACCACTGTCGCCATCCGTATATTCCTATGTGTATGTCGCAACATTGTGACCAACTTCTCCGTCTTAAAATCCCGGCGTGCTGTCATTATTGCTATAGGAGGTCTGCTCACCTTCAACAGTTGGCTTAATTTCATAGCTTTGATACCGTTCGCAGTGCAGGCAGCAGGTCACCCCCTCCAGGCAGCTAGTACATGTGTGATCGTGTCGGCCGTGTGTAACCTGGTGACGTGTCTGGCTGTATCTATGCTGTCAGACTGGTCCAAGTTTAGTATGAAGGGCGCCTGTATGACCAGCACTGCTGTTATTGCTGCCTCCACCTTTGGTTAGTAGACCCACTCACACCTCCGAGTATCACACACACACACACACAAATATAGTATAATCGTACTGAAATAAGGTTAAGGACATAAACTGTGGATATTTTATGTTTGATCTACAAAAACTAAATACAGGTAACGATTTTTGTACATATCTAGACCAGGCCTTCAAAAGAGGCTCTGTACTGTACTGTTCTGTAGTTGACACATGGAAGATAGCGGACTTTGTCAAGAAAACAAATAAACTTATAGGATCACCTGATGAATAAACACCTTAATGTTGTCTGGGTCAGTAAAGTTAGGTTACAATTAAGGTGAAATAAGCTGGAAGGCTAATCTTTAAATGTTCCAAATATTCTGTGCACTAGGACTCATGATCCTGTACACTCTCTGTATATAAGTAAGAATATTTTCCAACATAGAGCTTTTATGTGTGCAGCGTTCAGTGTGGTTACTGACATATGGTGGCAGAAGATTATCATGGGCATGTGGGGGTGCGGCGTGGGCAGCTACATGGGAATCTACGGCCTTACCATCGCTTACTACATGGGCGTCCACAGCTTGGATGCAACACTAGGGGTGACGCAGCTGTTGATAGGCCTTGGGTTCATCACCATCGGACCTATCATAGGTAAGGTGGAGGGCAGTGATGAAGCAAGTGTCAGTGAGGTAAACAAAAGCAGGTGACTGAACTTGAAGGTCTCTAACATCCTCATCCTGAAAAGGGCATTGTTTAATATTGTTTTCCTTCTAACCTTTCATGTGGGGTTTTAGCATGATTGTGTGTAGGGCGAGAGAAGATGGGAAAAACAATTATTCCTATTTCCATATACTGTAATTAAAGGTGTCCTGAACTAAACTAACCATAGATGGTACAACTTATATAAGTACTTTACCCAGATTGTGAGTGAGGTGTTTCTCCCCAGGTGTGATCCGGGACGCCAGTGACAGCTACACCTTCAGCATTTGGGTCTTGGCCGGACTGGCTGCTTGCAGCTTCATACTCTGGATCTTTATGCCAAACACCACCCAACACAGCCACACTACACCACTCTCTCCCATCACCTGACATCTCACACCTGTATGTTCCTTACATTCAGAATAACACATTCTTCTCCCCCATTCTTTGCTTCTACCAAGTAATTATCAGACATTTTGTTCATGGCTCCTCTCAGTACATCCACATCAGGTAACAATAAGGCTTTCAGTGCAGTTACTGAAGTCTCCCCAAAACCCTACCTATCTTCACCTTCTGTATATAGTATAAGCTTTCCTGACCCCACTTTACAAAATGGTTCCTAAAACCTTTGGAAATGTTTTTTTCATGAATTGCATCACATTTTCCTGATACAAAGGGGAGATACAGTACATTCCTATGAAATAGAAACCTTCCCCAAACCATCTTAAAATGCATTTAGAAATATTTATAATAAAAATTGTTGGTGAACGTAATGATTAAATGCCAATAATAATACTGTATATACGTATGTGTGAAATACATGTAGTTTAGGACACAGAATTTATTGAGTAACTATGAGTCTCAACCAATCCATATAGTTTTAAATTCGTAGTGATGCGCCAACAGTAAGTCTTTTGCATTGTAAGTACCGGTATATACAGTAGTACATTTGGAGATGGTTTGCTTTCACTAGAATTGACTTTTTATGAGTTTTTTATTCTGAAAAAGACATGCTTACCTTTTTCATTTATTTATTTTTTCTTAATATTAACATTAGATCAAATTTTGGTTCATTTTGTTTTGTTTTGTCTTCTCTCATAAACTTACTTTTAGTAACTTCCTTTGTTAGCATCCCAAAGATATAAATTAACATTCAAGATGCTAACATTAACAAGACTTATTTCTCACCTATCCTGTTTCCTCTGTTTGCTAAGTACGTCTCCAGCTTCTCTACATTATTGGTGAAGGCACACACATTTGTATTTGCCAAAAATTATTGCAAAAGTGTTTAAGTGAACAGGTATTACTCAAATCACTTATACCAGTTCCCCTCACAAGGTTGAATGACCATCCGTTTAATGAATTTAGTCCAGTGATATTGATGAAGCTTATTGAAGCCATGAAGAATAAGGAATACTCTGCTTTCAAGAATTTGAAAAGTGTAAGAAGGAAATTCAACATCGTTATTCCTGGCATTTGGAAATCACCAATGTTAGATGATGTGCTTGATTCACCTTCTCACAGTGGCCCAAGAATTTCAATTCATTTTCAACATACACACCCAGGTCCTTTTCACATTCAGTCTGTTAATGCAATTTCTTTGTCCCATTGGGACATGTGATACAACTCCTTACTGTTGGTATGTCATTAGACATCCTCTTACACTTCGTAACATTGAATCTTAGCAGCCATTTCTTCGATCATATTTGTAGCTGACAGAGATCTTTCTGTGACTCTTCACAGTCTGTTTAGCTCTTAATTTCCCTTAATAACTGAATAACTTGGCATCGTTCACAATAATAATAATAATTATGATTACAATAATAATAACATTAGTTCTGTACTCTGTAGTGCCTACTTCAATTTATTATTGGGTTGCATTCATGAAAACCATTTTGTAAACCGGATAATCTTAAATTGAATTGTATATACTGTACTGTACTGTACTCAGTGGTTACTGTACAGCATAAGTGTGAAGAGGTTTCTCAAACATATGAATAAATCAACACTTAATAGAATGACACTTTGCAACACAATTTAAACATTTGTATCGGTAAAACTGAGATTGCAGGATAAATAGAAAACAATTAAATGAAATCTAAAACTAGACAGTAATTTGTTAGTGTCCACAGTCAGTACCTTGTCTCCTTGAGCTTAACATCTAAAGTGATGGCTTTACAGGGTATCTTACCACTAGTGGTATAGCTGCAGCTCATTCCAATGTGGCCTCCAGCCTCCATCAATAGCCACACCTTCGCCGCCATTTTATTACATTAAAATTACATATCCTAATACATAAGTAGCTATCCTAGCTGTGTTAAGTTAGTTGAGCCGCAGATCTATGTGGCATTTGGTGACTGATGCCTCATAGTCAATATCTGAAACTGTTGTCGGCTTTGGGGCCAATGCTCTCATTCCCCTGAGGCAGAGTACAATAAAGCAGACCTAAGGAGAGAGAAGGACAGTCGACATCTCATCCAGGCTGTAACATAACTTCTGGGCTGCTGCTTCTGTTCGGAGATCACCTCTGCGAGTCTGGCGTAGAAGCATCTTGCACTTGGTCCCATCCCACCAGAGGTTGTGAACACCAGAGGAATGAAGCTGCCTTGATCAACGTTCTGAATTCTCTCCCCGTATGCCCTTATCTTGTCGTTCTCGTTCCTCCTGTGTGCAGCATCGAGAGCTAAGTTATGGTGACATGCGGCCACGGGATCAAATATCCTGATGTCGAAGAAGACTCGCTGTCCCCGCGTCCAGAATCCTCGAGCACTGACGTCAACACGGGCTTCGTTGGATGTGTTTGAAGTCTTAAGTTGGAAATTCTCACCGTCCAATGGAAGGAGGGTCGGTTCTACCCTAACATCACAACAGATTTTCTTCAAAATATTTGCTGTGAGATCCCTTACTTCGTCATGCCTCATGCATATGAAGCCCCCTTTCTTGCACACCATGGCGTAATCGACGTCATAGGAAGAACCACACACGCAGTGGGAGGGCAAACTTTCTACTGGCCTACTGTACTTTAGAGCAATGGCATCTGTAAATTCTTGTTTATTGACACTGAAACCATTTGCCCTTATCAGTAACGTACTTAACCAGTTCGAGGCGCCTACCTCCTGAGCTATAGCTACTTTTTTTTCAAATTCTCTGGTACTTGCTGCATCAGTTGCTGCAACTTATCACTTTGGCCGTGCTGTCGTTCTGTCGTAATGCACCTTCAAATCTTGTTTACTTCACTGTTTTCCACCTCACCTGTTGCATTCTGAGCTATTATATGGTCAGTGATGGCTGCCCTGAGCTTAACTGAGTTTTGATGTTCGGTGGCAGCAATCTCCTCAGGATTGGTCATTCCCATTCCTCCCAGTCTCAGTGGTAGTGCAAGGAGTGATCTTTCTGCTGGGGTTAAATGAGGGTGTTTCACTACTTTGGGAATGAAATTAACGTTGATAGCTTCTTCCAGAGGGTGGAGGAGAGGTCCGATATCAGGGATAGTGTGCATCAGGTAGTTCCAGCGATGCTTGACTCCATGGGTGAATGCCGCAAAAGCTGCATGTGGCTCTGTGTTAGCAGTCTCAGACAGAGCTTGGATTTCCCAAACCCACTCATTCACCTTTCCCGTAACATACTTGGTCTTGAAGTCCGTCGTGCCGATTACTGCGTCTTTAATTCATTCATCTTCAGCAATTTCATAATACATTCTCTCCTCGACTTACGACCTACTCGACTTACGACCACCCGTACATACGACCACCGCAGTCGTATAAGATATTTTTCAAATTACAGGGTACGTATTTTCGAGTCCCGACGTTAGTGATCGCACTGTACTGACAAAATTTTTGTTTGTAATTCCCTTTAAAATGGCTGGCAAGCACAAAAGTGAGAGTTCTCGTGATGCTGAGAAGAAAAAGAGACACCCATTTTAGATTTTCTACGTATTATTTTCATATTTTCGACTTACGACCAATTCAACTTACGATCTGGTCGTCGGGACGGAACCCCGTCATAAGTCGAGGAGAGACTGTAATTATAGATCCAGCTTTTATATTTACAATAAATCATTTTTTTTATTAATTAAAAGTAATAAAATGTGTTTAAGTAAGCAATAACATGTTTTTAATTCTGGAGTTGGGCTAAGTAGAATTTAGGGGTTCATTAGCTTACGGGAGACTGCAACTTCATTTACTGTATAAGACACAGGCTGATTTTTTTCGCAATTTTTCTGACCCAAAAGTGCATGTTTACCTACATACTGCACTGTATGTACTGTACTGCATATCTGAAACTCTGACTCAAATGATGGAAGCAAATACAGTACAGTATACTGTACATAATAGAGTATAAGGACAAATATAAAGTTAATTAATTGTTAGACTTTGTTTTATTATACAAATATAACACTCAATGCATCTGAACATTTATACATTACATCTTGCACAATTAGAAAGAAAATCCTTTGATTTTCAACAAATATAAACTTTATAAGTACACTGATTACCTCTGTAAAAAAAAAGAGTTGAACTCAGTGAAAGGTTTATCACACAGGTAAATCTTACCATATATACAGTGAGATCCTAAAGAATATGCAGGTGTGAGAATCATTAACTACAACAGATCATAAAGAAAGAAATTCTTCACAACAAAACTTCATTAACTCTTGACAAAAATACACTTCATACAAAATAGAATTCTTAATGACAACAGTTTACAAACTCTTGACAAAAACCTTTTTTGTACAAGAAATATTCATTATGACAATAGCTAAGTGGCTCTTAAAAAAATTATGCTTTGTACAAAAAAGAATAAATGGCAAAAGATTATGAACCCTTGACAAAAATACACTTTGTACAAAAAAAAATCATGACAATAGTTTACAAAAAACTGACAAAAATGTCACCAAATACAGTATATATACAGGTATTTACAGGTAAAGAGAAGCAGAACAACCAAGTACAACAAGCACTCATTCATTCATTTACTAGTACAGTACAGTTGACAACCACAACTACCTGTATGTATATTCTGTAAGCACAATGTACAGTACATTCAAATACAGTCAACTTTTGTACATCCAGTTACATTGAATTCAACATAATCAACTCATAATGTACTGTACATACAAGTGTACTGAACTCTTATTGTACAGTATCTAAAAAAAGTATCCATCCACACTGTGTGAAACATTATGAGACCACGGTTGACGGATACGGATATTGGGATACGCCCTGTATAGTTTAACATAAGTAACACAATGTGTATTTATTTTGGTGTAATTAATATGATGTTCAGTTACCAGATGTAGTAGGATCAGTAAGCCACAGAGCCACGCACACCAACCCTCCCGGGTCATCGTGAGTTACATATAGCATTTGGGAAGTCATCGGACCCATCCTGGCAGATACCTTTTTTGAGATACTGTACAATAACAGTTACATATACAGTAATGTTTGTTCAGTTCAACTTTTGATGTTTTCCATTATTTCATTGTACAATCGCTAACTGAATACAGTACATCAATGCACCAACCAACTGCAATCAACTGAACGTACATTTACAGCACATTGCTACAAGCTCGTACATTCAAAATCCACTCTAATATCACTTTACAGATATATATATAAGATAAGCAAAATTCATATTGCTACCCTGTACAGTATTAGCAAAATAGTTGTGAAGTAAAAAATTGTGATATCAGAATATTTTTTGATCATATGAGGCAGTAGTATTACAAGTACTGTACCAGTAACATAGCAAAATTAATGGTCCTCTTTTTAATCTTTTTCATATGATGGAATCTTAAAAATCTATGAAGTTGGCAGAGGAATTAACACTTTTTTTTCTTTCTTTTTACAGTACAAATCTCACCTCCACTTGCAGCTCATTGGCTCATTCATAATGTTCGATTAATATTGATTTATTACAAATATATTCATATACAACTGTTAAGGATACCAAGTTCTGGCTCATTTTAATGCCTAATTTAATGTATGTAAAGATATAATGGCTTCAAAACATTAACTTTCAAGATAGGAGTGGGAAAAAAAGTTTGAAATTAAGAATATTAACTGTCAAAGTCACAAACAAATTCACGCATTCGGAGGAGATGGTGGGGGGGGGGGTCTTAGCCTAGTACCATCGACAAAAAAAAAATTACTACAATATAGAGGAAAGAGTCAGTTTAATATATTGTACATGAATGGTATATACTGTACTGTACTGTTCTGTAGTTCAAAAAGGATTTAATTTACAACACCTAACACCTAGGTACAGCACTGTATATGGATGTTCCTTACATTGATAATAAACCGATTCATCTAGTGTTAATTTATCTCCCATCTTTGTTGATCTAAAATAAAACAAAAAGAGAGGAACATAATTTTCCTATAGTGCATGACATGACCCTATACATACATACAGTACTCTGCAACACCACCGACTTCTCATGTACACAACTGAGGCACTCTAGGTGAGAAGTAGACAAGCGACAAAAGAAAAACTAGGTGTCTCAGTATTCTGTTCAAAAGAGGAAAATATGAAGACAGTCTAGTGACACATCTCGAGCTGCTTTGTGGCTTAGCTCATCCCCCCTGGAGCAACTCACATGTACATGTTAATTTTGCTTGAAGTTTCTAATGCTCAGTAGACTAACAATTGCCTATGTCCTGATTTAACAAGTAAGGTATGAGCAAAACAAATTATTAGTTGAGCTTTCTACACTTTCTCACTTGTTAAAATAATCCAAGATAAATTTTGCTATATTTCATTGAACTTCCTTAAAATCATTATTCCGCTTTTTATAACCAAACAAAAATGCTTTTAAAGTTACTTTGAACAAAAATCTCTGGTTCCTCGGTAAATCAGTCAATACAGTACTTCATCAGCTGAGAAGAATAAAATTTTCTGAACTCTAAGACAAGCATAATGATTAAAAAATGGGATATCCAAGTGTGTTTCATCTCTTACTAAATGTAATTCTGGAGGGTAACTCAATACAAGTTGATGCCACAATTGAGCTCAGTAACAAGAACACCTTAAATCCAGTAGTAAGGTGAAGAAGCAACTGATCCTCTCACAGTTCTGGCGAGCCAAGAACATCACAGAGAACACCAACCAAGAAAAGCCCTAAAATATATTCCAAGCTCTATGATTCAATCCTATACTTGATGTTGCAAATAATTATCAAACAGAAACTAGCAGGAGTGTATAGTTGTGTAACATGCACATACAACGACCATCTGCACCTCTCACATACTGTACACAGCTCGTTACTAAATCAATCGGCAGAATCATGAGTACATCTAAAGGAAAATATTCAATACACACTTACACACATCTTGTAGTACATTTCTTTTGTATGAAAATAACATCTTGATTAACATTTTTCTCCCCACAAAGACAATTTTTAGTTGACATGTGAAGTGAACAATCCAGAAAAGCAATAGATCCAGCAGACTTAACATTATATTCTTCAGAAAACATAGATTCTTTAGTCTTAAAAAGCTATAAGTTATTAGCCTTCCGATAGTGCGAGAGGTGAAGGCACGGAGAACATCACAGTTATGACACAGCAGCAGCAAACACACTTGTAGAAGAAGTTAAGCCCTAAGTAGTAACTCCAGGGTCAGGTGTTTCAATAGAAGTTATACAATTGCTAGCAAGTTACTAGCTTACAACTCCACACTGAAAAGTTTCATTCGCAAGATTTTCTAAAAGTATCTTCTGTAAAAGTTAGATCTAGCATTCTTGTGAGTGAACTGCTCTTCCAAGTTCATGTACAGAGATGCTGTATAAAACACTCACAAACAGACATGTACAAATATTAATTTTTATAGGAATTTCCACTGATAGGAATTGTAAATATTTCTGTAAAGTTTATCTGCCACATTTTCATTTATGAAAACCTTAATATAAATTGGCACTGGTAATTGGATTGCTGCTCAAATAGGCCCCAGGCTTAATAAGTCCTCCTAGTCTAACCTAAAATCTAGGAATGGGGTCATTAGAATTGAAGCCCATTAGGATTGGGGCCCACTAGGACTGTAACCCACTGGGAATGAGGCCCATTAGGACTGGTCCCCAATCCCAGTGATCGGGAGGAGCCTGTCAGGACTGGGATTTTATTTGACCAAGTAAATGAACACAAATATTTATACACTGTATATTATAAATAATCTCTAATACCCATTGGCATCTTTATCCAGATTTCCAGACAAGGTTGGATCTGGCCTCTTTCTTTCAAAAAAGCCTAATTTCCATAAAATTAAAACAATAATTATAAGAACTAATAGCCCGGCAAAAATTGAAACTAATATTACCCAGAGAGGTACTTCTTCGGGTGGAAGTTGATCGAGCAAGTCTGGATATGCCAGGGTCTCAGCAGACGCTGTATCATCAGATTCATCTTGATCTTTACGAATGTCCTCTGGAAGAATTAATGAGCCTTTGGATTTAATACTCACGTAACTGACGCGAGGGTAGTCTTCAACCAGAGTAGAGTTCCATAGTCGAGACTTGATGCGGATACTTCTTGACTGCTTGGCCCCCAAGTTGCGAATGTTGCAACGGAAAATGTAACATTTTGCGGTTGGAATATCACCATCACATTTCTAAAAGTAATAATATGTATTAAAGAAAGTAGTACTACATACAACTTAAATTTTACAAAAATATAGAGAAACTTTCCATACATCTATAGGTTATGTAATTACAGAAGCAAGACCACCAAGAACTGTCACTGTATATATTGGCAGATCAATAAATTAATCGCTGAGCAAAGACTGACTGATGCAACTAAATTGTATATATGTACAGTAGCTAAAACAACTCTCTGTGCATACTTTGTGGGAAATAATATGAGACCATGGATCATTAATATTGGTATACGAGGGCTGTCACCAGTCGCACGTAAAATTTCGGAGCATATCGACCCCCACCTGCACAGATAGTTGTTTTAGCTACTGTACATAGGATTTACTGCTGAGTCAAGTGCCTGCACCATACCAGGATGATAATCTAAATTTCACTAAATACCTGCAGTTCAAACTGGTTATCTTCTAATCTGGTTATACAAACAGAGAATATTCCTGTCACGACTTTAGCAGCTTTACAGTTTAATATAACTGAATATTCACATACAATGGATATCAGACCAAATAGGTCATTGAGTAACTTAATAAAGACAAAAGTAATAACACCAATATTTAAGTTAAAATAATCACTCATGAAATAACCTAGCAAAGCTTTGTGAATGACAATAAATATCTAAGTTGTACATACCAAATTCACAACTTGCATCGTCTTGCCCGTCTGAGCATCTGTCACGGCCTGTGGTTTGATGATGAGCTCCTTCTCACGCTTGATGCGCCTCAACTCTCTCTTGTTTCTAATATGCTCATCATCATTGTGTGGGGATGTTGACGAAACTTCTTCCCTCAATATTCTATGATCCCAATTTTCCGGCAAAGTACCGGTGTATACTTTTCGTGTATATACTGTGGTTGTCCCAGTTTCAGGATCTACTTCCACACGTGTGTATGTACCATTCTTATCTGGACCTGGTGACTCAAAGTGACTAATTCTTTTGCCTGTATGAGTTTGTGAGTTGTCCCAATTATCAGAACTTCCTTGGTGATGAGAAGAATGATCGTTCCATCTCGCTCTGTTTTGTCCTCCTGAACCTGAACTTAATTCCCATGTGGTGGTCCTCAAGTTGGATGAATCTGTTCCTGAACCTACATCACTCCCGTGCCTAGAAGAGAAAGAGCTGGATCTTCCATATCCATCAGCTCTTGAGTCTTGGCCATAAGTTCTTCTGTAGGCACCATCTCCAGAAGTTCTTGCATGGCCATCAGTATGACCCTGCTGAACATTTTCATCTTGGTCAGTTCTAGAACTATCAGAACCCCATGTCCTTCTAACTTCAGTTCTTTCACGACCAGTGGCGTATTCACGGCGACCTTCAGTTCCAGTTCTTCCTTCATTCCAGTCAAAGGGAACTTTGCGATCATCATTTTCAAGATTTCTATTAGATTCGTGATGAGTTCTTCTTCCTTCAACTGTTGTTCTGTCATATCCACCATAATGGCCCCTGGTGAAGCTGCCAGAACCATCAGAATCAGTTCTGTCATACGTCCTCCCTGATCCGTGATGTCCGTCATAATCATCCGTGTAATCTCTTTCAATGCCAGAATTTTTTCTTCTATCATCTCTACTAATTCCAGTCCTTCTGATCTTATCATAATCATCATTATCAAATCCTCCTCTTGATTCATAGGTATAGGTGGTTGTCGAGGAACCACCAGTTCTTCGTGTAGGTGTTCCAGCATCTACACTCTCCACCCTATGATGACCCCTGTTGACATTGTCCACTCTGTCAGCACCATCATCTACATTCCAGTTTTGCTCTCCTCTACCTGACTCATATGACAAGCCAGATCTATCATCGGTGGTTCCTCTGCTTCCTCCATAATCATGTACTGTCCTCCTCCCTTCACCATCATGTGTTCTCGTACCTTCTGTTCTAGTGTCACCACCATCAGTTATCCTCTTTTCTTCACTGTAAATACTTCTGTAATTGCCATCACTTCCACCATCTTGTCCCCTAGAATGAGTCCTCCTGACGGTCTCACCTCTGTTGACAGATTCAACCCGATGAGTACCACTGTGGTGACTCCAACCATGTTCTCCTCTGTTGTATACATTTGATGACCCAGATTCCTCCAATTCATCACCAGTAACTCCAACATTTGCATCATAATGTGCACTTTCACCTGACTGAGATGTCCTGCGGTTTTCATCAAAACGTTGACCGTGACCTGACCTGCGGTTTTCCAACTGGCGGTGACCATCGTCAGGAATATCATCAGAAGTTCTGAAACCGGAAGAGTCTGTTTCTGTGTTTGTCTGTCTGTATCCACCTCCGTCACTCCACCGCCCGTGTGGTATATCCTCATTTGAGACTTCTTCCTTTACTGTCACTTTCCGGCTTTCGTGGTGTGTTTCGTGGTATTTTGTTTTTCCATCGGGTGAAGTTCTAGATGAAGTACGAGTATCCTCATGATGACTAACAACATCACCATCTCCATATGTGTCTACATTATTAATTCTACTGTCATCTTCACCATATTTAGATCTATCCGATGATGAGATAACCCTTCGACTGACTCGTGAATGCGTTCTCCCGTGTTCTCGAACACCGCTTTCACTAAAGCCACTTCCTTCCTGATCAATAGAAGCATCCCTATCAGAAGTGCTAAAACCAGATGAGGATGAAGAGCTGGATGATGAAAATGAACTAGAGTGTCCATCAGAAGTTGAGGTTCTATCAGTAGTCTCAAAAACTTTTGTGTCAGATGTTTTAGAAGTCTTCTTACTAATCGTTGTGATGCTTGTCACTTTCTTGGTTTTTTTCTTAGTGATCATTACATTACCATCTGTGACAACATCTTCCGTTGGTCCTCCTTCACTAGGTTGTTCATTATCTGGTCCCAGGTGGATTGGTGTTTCTTCTTCACCTTTCACATCTACGCCTATATATGGCTGTTGGCTACCCAGGGGGTTTATGAAACTTGGATCAATGTTACATTCACCATTACCTGAAAAAAATAAAATAAATAAATGAAGTACTTGGTCATTCTACTTTATTTGGTTCACAGCATCACACATAAAGCTAATACTGTAGAGTACAGTTGGAGAACAACACTAGTCACTGATTCACACAAGAAACATACTGTACAAATTTAAGCACAAACAACATCAACACAGCTGCCAACACTGAAAATGGGATGGTAACATATTCGTCCAAATTTAAATACAACACCCTGTGGAGAAAATTAATTTGAATCTGGTACTTTCGATGTTTGGCTAAATTTTGCCGCTCAAACCCGTCGAAATTTGAGTTTCCGCCGTCGAAATTTGAAATTGTGTAGTGTTTTTTTTGTGCCCAAATAAAAAACTTTGAATTAAAAACTCGCGAAATTTGAGAACCTACTGTATGTTGATCGTAGGAGGTATAATTATATATACAGTATTAAATAAATTCAGCATAAAAATACAACTCACCATCAACAACTGGCACATCAGTCATATAGAGGAGCCACTTGCCCTTTTCCTTGTTGTTCTCCACCTGATATGGCCAAAGGATCTCCACCTGCAGCTCGTTTACTCTCCACGGTCCACGGTTATCAATTACATACTTATGTATTACCTCCTGGCCTATTTGTTCCACTTTCACAATAGCAGATTCGCCGACTACTTCACCACCGTAAAATGCTTGTTCGGGAGTCACAGATCTGAAACGATGTTCTTAGTGTAGTAATGTTGAATAAGTTAATTTCAAGTCATCTTTCAATAATAATATATAATACTAGTTTCATCAGAGTACAGTATGATTTCAATTTTATTATAACCACATGCAAATGGGAAACATCTGTTTTAAAATTAATAACCAAACAACAAACTTCTAACTTCACACGCACACGCACGCACGCACGCACGCACGCACGCACGCACACACACACACACACACACACACACACACACACACAAAACATGAATGCAATTTCTCCTCTTTTTAGGAAGCTGGACAAAAGGATGAATGAGTTAGTTTAAGAAAATAAGGTAATTGGAAAATAGAACATACCCAATTATTGATATTTCAGATTTTTTGATGACCTCAACTTTAAAATGTAGAGGATCTTGTGGAGTCTTTTCTGTGGAGGAAGAATTTGCCATCACCGTAAAGACGATGAATCTTTTATCAAATGGTTGTCCGGACTCTCTGAAATTTAGTATTAAAGGTCCCGTGGAGTCAGTGAGAGGGTTCCCTATGCCACACTGAACAACTGTGGCAGACGTTGATGAGCAAACATATTTCCCAACCTGAAATACAAATATAAACTTAGGTTAACTTTGCCAATACCCGTACATTTCAATATTCATATTGATATACACTGAATATACCGAGGGCTTCAAAATGGCCTCAAAATATCCAGGATATTGGTCAGATTTCAAAACCCCCCAGCTGGGTGGGCTCGCCGCACTCGCCATGTTCCCCCACCCACAACTTCTTGGACCCCCCATTTTGATATTCCTTAATGTGCCCCTGTATACATATACAGTACATATTATACTATACATTAAATATACATATACTGTACAGTATTGTACATTGAATCTTCTGTCTACATACCTACACCCTAATTTCCCTGTAAAAGATGATGTGACATAATAATGCATTACCACTGTCACATTAGATTGAGATATACAGTACTGTATAGGTGCTATATATAGAGCAAAGTAGAGGCAGTCTCCCTGGTTGGCTGCCTGATAAAAGTAAGGCAATGTTTAGGTTCCATAGTGACAAGGTAGTTGGTGAAAGACTTGTTATCTTCATCATTATTATTATAAACTATACTGTACAACATTACCTTTATTAATTATACTATACATGTTCTTTTTATTATTATTAGAAGTCTACAACAAACAAAACTAAACTTTTATCTTAAATTTGAATTCTTCTTTGGTAGAAAGTATTTTTGACAGTCCAAGTATGTGACATAAGTTTTCAAATATTGTCTTCAATTTGATAGCGTTGTACAGCATAGAGTTTCACCAAGATAGGGTGTTCAGTTAAACAAAACACCCTGTCTTATTCAGTGGTTTATTTATTTGTAATATGAATGTACTGTAATATCCAATGTAAGCAACCACTATATCATTAAACATATTCCCCAAATGCTTCCTTAGTAAGTGGAAATATCACACAAATAATTTTTGCTTGACCACTAACTGTCTATCAGAATATTTCATCTTCAGTCAAAAGTTTTGTCAAAGTCAGAACTTGACAATTTATCACAACGTTGTGTAATGGGAATCTACCGAACATAAACTGAATGGAGCAACATACCTGAGACTCTTTAAGGTTAAGAATAAGAGCCTTGTGATGAGTGATTCGTAGTGTGGACTGGTAAGCTGGTTCACCGGTGTTGTTCACCTCAACGTGCAGTGGGACGCTGTCTTGTTCCCCGAGTCTTAAGAGATAGGAGTCTTGTGTTTCGTGATGCTCTAAATCGAGTCTTCCTCCCACGTTGAGGTCGCTGACACAGATGTCGTCATCGCCACAATCTTTAGCGAATGTTGCTTCAAATTCCCTGAAACATTAAAGAAGAATCACAAGTGATGTATGATAATGCTTTTTTTTATGGGGAATAGCCCATCTGGGCACAGGTCATCGACCCACAACGGGGCCTAGGGGGGTGAAAAAATAAGAGTAAAAATAAATAAAAAATAAAAAGATTATATTAATCTACACCACGAATCATTGGTTCAGGTTGTGTTCAAATTACTAGTTAAGGTTTTAAATTCAAATTATTGAAATGAAATGATAAATAAATGCATAAATAAATAAAGTAAGAAATCAGCCTCAGCTTAAGACACTCACTTAACTGCCTCCCGCTGGTTGAGGATGGGATAGTCATCAATATCCGGCAGAGGAGCCCCCTCAGGGACAGGCCGTGGCTCCCTCTGGATGATCTCGTATGACAGTTTAAATCTGATGGAACGTAGTATGTCTCTTGGCCCATCCTGTGTGGAAATATCTCTGGTTAGTAGAGAGAAATCCCTCAAGTTCAAAACACCTAAGAACCAAGTGAGTTTTTTTGGATAACAATAATCTGTGAATACTGTAGTACTAAATGTGACTGTAATGTTAACCAACCAACATAGATGGATATGTACGGTCAAAGACAAAAGTCGTGTTGTGAAATTTGGTGAAAACATATGCCGAAGGGCTAAAACTTTTGGTGCACTATGTCTTGTGGTAGGGCTCTAATAATGTTTCATGAGTTATAGTCAATCTTCGGTCAAAACCGCGACACAACTTTTGTCTTTGACTGTACAGTACTGTATAAACAGTAATTAATAATTTGAAAATTGAAAATATGACACTTCAGTAGGTTACTACCCTGGGAGTACAGTGAGGTACACTCACTCCTAAAAATATCTTTACAGAGGGGTCCGATGAGTTTCAAAATGAACCTATGACTCCTTTTGTCTCAATAGGGTTGTCAAAATTCTTCTTACGTTGTGTCATATTGTCTCAGAAAATCATAAAGATACTTTTTGAAGTGAGGTACCTCCTTCCTGTTGGCCTCCCTCCCATCCTCCCTGACCCTGAGAGTAGAGGCAAGTTGGGGGTCATCACTACCTTCTTCACCACGCCAGAATACACTACACAGATACATATTAATGTAAAAAAGAACGACATTATAGAAAATACAGGTACAAAGGACCTCATCACCTTAGCCATAATAGAACTACAGTTCTGTACAGGTTGAACCTCAGTACTGTAGTTCAGGATCCTTTAGTTTGGCAGCTTCAATGGTTCAGAACTATTCTACATACAACCTGAAATTGACTTCAACAAAACTTCTTCTAAACATCATTAAATTCATTAAAATAACATTACAAGTTAATAATCATCAACTACAACACAGATAATTTATCTAAGACATACCAAAAGATAAACAATTTCACGGGAGCACTGGAACCTCCCCATGTCTTCAGGACGTAGATCAATGTCCCGCTGCACCATGTTAGGCCGACGCTCAAAGCTGTTTCCAAAGCGAACTCTTGCAATAGGTTGGTTCTTATAGACCCGTTCTTCAATTGTATATTTGAGTCGCAGACCTGTTCTTGTATTTGCATTATTGGTCATCTTGAAACATGCACCAAACGAGAAACTGTAATTTTAAAAATCTTCAGTAATTTACCTTTCCTTTGGGAGGGGGACAAAGCTGTCTGAGTATTACAAACTTATGTGCTTCATTAATAATTTGTTTGTTAACCAGTTATGTGAACTTTTCGTTTCCACTAATACTTTCTTAATCTTCAGTATACAGTTGAATTAACTATGAATCCCTTTCAAAGATTTCCTGTTTCATAGTTCATCCCTAAGAGTCTTCAGTGATAAGCATCATAACATATACTCAAGTTTAATAATCGCATAGAGTTCTATCTCTCATAATTACTTTTTTTAAATGTTATTAGACTGGTGTAATTATAAACCGTGTTACACACTGAAAGACCTTAGTTGTTGAAGTGCAGTAATAACATTATAACAACATAAACAATTATTGCTAAAAAAGAACAGTGATTTGAGAAGTTAATCAAACATACCTATACTGTACTGTACTGTACTCAACAAAGGTTAAACCGAATCAGGTCAATGACCTGTGCCCGGGTGGGCTATTCCCCGTAAAAAAAAAATAGACTGGTATTGAAAGAGAATTGCAGGAAGATTAAGCACCCCATCTTATTTTATTTCACCAAATCCTCCCATACAGCATTGGGGTGTTTAGTCATCATTGGGTGAAATAAGCTGGGGCACCAAATTTTCATGTGATCCTTGGAAACTTCTTGAGACACACCTTAGTTTACTGATTGAGATTACCCAAGATGAATTTTCTTTTACCCCTTCCCTACGGGGACGCAACTTTTAATATTTTATGTGAAGACTATTTTATTTAACACAGAGGGGATCCTGTACTCATGTGGTTAGAATCAAGGTAAATGAGTTAAGAAATACATTACTGTACCTGTACTATTTTGAGGTTTATTATACTTACCATGTTTCTGTTGATCCAATGTCTTCTGTACAACCCTTCTTGGTTGGGTCAATGTTTTCCAGGTTTTTAGAATTTACTTCAGTCTGTATATCAATAATTGGCCGAGCTCTAAAAAAATAAAAGAAGAGATGAGGTTATTCTTCACTTTAGTACCTCTGCCATCACTGACCCTTGACCTTTAGTGGTTATGTGGCCAACATATTTATATGCCTTACATATTTATTCAGTACACACACTACTGAACACCATTTACCAGTGCAGGTGGTCCCAGGATCACAGGAAGGGGGGAAAAGCCCTAGTTATTAAATTATGGCAGAGGTAAGGGAGACACCATGAGGGGTACAGTATAAAGATGCCCTTAGGTGCAGATGAGTAAATATAGAATCATTTTTGGTGGGAGAAATTTTAATTTTGAAAAGAAATTTGTGGAGTCATGAGTGTTGTTTCAATGGAATAATTTAGTTTGCTACTTGAGAGAAACACGAAATACTAAAAAGACTGAGAGTCTACCCAGATGCACCTCAGCCCTTCTCCTAGAACAAACAAAACATTGTTTTTTGTAGTATTATGTTAAAAGAAACACTCATAAATCAACACAGCTAAAATTAAGGGATGAGAAATGGTCTGTTTACTGACTGGGAAGATGGGGGGGGAGGGGAGAGGGGGAGAGGTGAGGTGGTATGTTTGACAGTTGATGCCAAGGTCTAGTGCTTATTTATTTATCTGTCCTTAAGAGTGACTAAGTTTTTCTCTTATAAAATGTCACTGAACTGACATGGGAGAATATAATTAACATTGCTGGAATTCTTATAAGATAATGATTAATTTGAATATAAACATGCTCTAGTTTGCACTGGACAAAAATTTAATGATCATTTAGTACATTATTTTGAGTACATGTACAGTAGAGCTTTGCCCTTAGGACAGTGCAGCGTGCCCAGAGATACATTAGGCACAAATTTTAAAATATGATGCGCCAGATTGACTCACGCAAAATAGGAAAGATTCGCTTTAAATTAAAACATTGTCTTTATTGTGGGTGTCGCTATAAATCAATAATCTTAAATTGAATCGCTTTAAATTGACGTTCTACTGCATAAAAAAAAGTTGAAAAATGGCTGGTGATCATAGCTGAAAAAATCTTTATCATTAGGATCAACATACTAAAATTCTCTGTTCATTTAAAGAATCAATAACATACAGGATTGGATTCATAAGAGTGGTATTTGAGCCAATCATATACAGTACAGGCACATGAATATGACTCAGTTGATTTGAACATTGGACATGATCATAATATATATTGAGTTTGGTTGAATTTTTTTCTTTCACTAAAAACTCAATTATTTTACATCTTTATCAAGTATGAGATTAAGGAAAACATTGAAGAGAAGTGTGTAGTTACCTGATTAGGAGGACTCGGTCGCTACAGAATGAGGACGTGAGTAGATCGGGGTAGCCATTTTGATCCAGGTCCATACCACCACTCAGAGAATAACCAAATGCATTGTATGGCTTTCCGGGCATGTCCTCGGCATGGATAATCTGTAAGAGATACGATATAGAAAACTTTAATAACAAGATTTGCCTCAAAAATCTTACCTTAACAAATTCTTTGTCCTCCATGTTAAATACAATGCAAAAGACTTGTCCTGTACTTTTTTTCAGACCATCAATGGTTCATGTACTATGGACTGTCTGCAACATCTCCATAGTAAGAAACTCTCCCCCTTAAGTTGGATTATATGGGGCTCAAGCTAGTCCAACCTATGTGAACCCCCCCCCCTCCCGCCCATAATTTCGCCCACCATTTTGTTGAAAAATCACATCCAAAACAAAATTAAAGTTAACAATACTTATTTACAGTGTACAGTAAATCCTCGCTTAACGTTGTTTCGGTACTACATTGCACCAAAAATTAATTTAACGTCCCGGTGACTCGGTGCAAAGTCGTTTGAGTCGTCACAGACTACTTTTTACAGCACATCACCCTCACCCTTAGGACAAATATTTCATTTACCTTTTTCACAATATGTATTTAGGATGGTGTGTGCATGTAAATGAGTAAAAATAAATGAAGAAAGTTACTATATCTACCGAAAAATAAGTTGAAAAACCTGTACAGCACTTAATCTAATTAAGGAACTTAATTTTTTACATCTTATGCACAATATGTGATGGCTATATTCATAATATTCGCTGTCTTGCAAGGATTCCAACAATGCAATTTATATTCTGCTAACTTTAGTCTGTGCCATTTTATGAGATAAAAACTTTAAGCCGAAAAAACCACGTCACCCTAAGTCGGAGGGGAGTTGATTTATTATGACAGCTGGGCCGGAGCGCAGACACGGTTACCTAGTGGTATTTATTTATTTGCCATGTAGAGAAGTTTTAAGATTTTCTCTTATAAATCTCAATAATGTGACTTTATAGTCATCCCTTGGTTATAGCGATTTTCGTTATCACGCCACCATCAAACTCTGCACACCTGCCGTTATAGCGCATTTTTCAGGCCGAGAATTTGGTTATCACGCATTTGCCTCCAGGTGTAATATTAACCTACATCTATTGGGGTTGCAATTTCAAATTCTGTGTCATTACTAAGGAATAACGAAGTCTCTGGTGCACTCTAAGATTGAGAGAAAACAGAGGACTCAGGCGTCCTGAAACGAGAGAAAACAGACTCCTATGATGGGGGACTCAAATAAAGAAAGCATAGCTACATGATTTGTGGATTACAGTATTGAGCGTACCCTTTTCATCACTTTGTAATAAACCTAGCCATGCTATGTGTGTTTCTGATATTTACCATAACATTATATATATATTTAGTGGGTCTAAATGGTCGTAAAATGGGAACGTTGGAGTTGGGTCTTGGGCGCCTGGAAGCAATTTGAATAAATCCCATAGGTTCTGTACTTTCGTTATCGCGTTTTTCGTTATCACGCACTCGGCGTGGTTCCAATTAGGCGTGATAACCAAGGGATGACTCTACATAAAAAAAATAAGTTATGGAGAAGATTTAGCTTAAATATGTCTATGAAGATACACACAAACAATGTGACTGCTATGCATCCCTACCCTTCAAGACCAGAGAAAAGGAATAAAATATCGCCAAGGCCAATCATACAGACAAACCTCACGACACTGTCTTTTGCAGTGTCCAAGAAATTGTGCTAATCACATCTCTCGCCCAAGATTAGGTCTGGTTAGGTTAAGTTTCTTGAGACTCAAATAATTCTCGGCCATCACATGAGACACCGTGACGAGATTTGTCCATACGCTTAACCTCGATCATAAAATGTATTTGAATTACACATCAGTAAACATCACATATAAAATCATACCTGTGCAGGATCTGTGAGTAGGCCATTGCTAGTTCCCAGGTATATGTAAATGGCTCCTCGACCCTCATATGGAGCTCCAACTGCAACATCTATGTAGCCATCTTTATTCAGGTCACCGAGAGATGTCAGAGAAAAGCCAAAACGGGTTTCTCCTGCAACACCTTGTGAAGGGAAGGCAGTAGATGAGATTAATTAAAGACAGATAACACTGTCAGGGCAACTTGATAAAATACATTACTATGGTTTATTAAAACAAGACAATTTCTTTTCAGAACAGTAATACAAAACTTTTAACAGAAACTAATTTAAAGTTGGCTTCTGCTTTCATATCTGATCTATCCTAATGAACCTCAGTATTACTATAAATCCTGAAAGGCTCCAATCCCAAAGGCAAGGTTAGGTTAGGCTAGGTTAGATTAGAATGGATGGGTTAGGTTGGAAGCTCTTAGGACTAGGGACTATTTGACCTACAATCTTTACATTAGTTCCAAAAATGTAAGATAATTCATCACTTGGATATTTTATGGTTTTGAGAATATTTACTGCCAAGAGTAAACTTACATCACAGACCACTAAACTAATGTAAATTCAAGATCATGTGGAGATACAGTGTTGACCAACATGTTCACAAGTACAGGGAGTAATCTAGAAACCTGATGAGTCCTGTTTACAATAAGCTTAGTTAAAGATCAATGGGAAAATTTTTAGATAGGGTGAGCTTAAAGTTTCCTCAGTACTATAATATATGTAAGATGATATACAGTAATTGCACTTAAGACACTAAACAAGATCCACTGAAGCTAATGTTTGTGATCATTAAATTGCCTCAGTTGTTATGGTTTGATGCTGAGTACAAATACTATCTTAAATCTCTATGCCAATGAACAATTCAGTTATCTGTTTTTCATTGACCATTAAACTATGGTAACTTAATGTCATTTTTCTGCCACACTGGGGGGAGGGAAGGGTGGGGTGGCTTTCATCCAGCACCTTCCCCAGCTTATGCACTGGGTTGTCTTACACCATCATAGAATATTGGCCTCATTCTACATTACTCCCTGTATGAATGAATGCAAATCAAACATACATCATAACATCACAAGTATATGAACTTTAATTCTTGCTACACATGCAGATCTTTTAAATAACCATGAAAAAATTCATCTAAATAATAAACCCTTCACTACTTAATGCTTCTCATATAAGTAACTACATATTTAAGTATGCAATATTTCAAGCTTATACAAGAGATGATTTATGCACTATTATTCCTACTGGCTACACTACAAGAGCACATAACAAAGATCTGTCTTTAAATTTAGGAAAGAACCTTCACTGAAACAGCCTCTCTACAGTACAACTAAAGATCATTAATGTTAATGTGATAAGACTTCCTCTTCTAGTAAACACCCAAAAACAAGATGGCAACAAATTATTTCACTCGTGTCTTCTACCTCACTCTTCTTAAACAACTTTACGGTAGCTGGTGTTGTGAATTACTGGCATGACTAAGATCTTTTTTTTTTCAATTCAGAAATTTTAAACCAAACAGAATATGAGAGAATTGGCAATAACGAGAGAGGAAGTACAGAACCAACACAAACATTTAAGATAAATGAAAAACTCAGCCACCAACCCCACAACAAATATGAGACCAATAAAGCACTGATGAAGACAATACAAGCCTCAACCATTGCTAACTATGGGCAGAGGAGACCCGACCGATCCCACAGCAAGTATGAAAACCCCGTAAGAAAGTCCTGAAGGAGAAGACAATGACATGAGCTTCAGTAACTGATGACTATGTAGAGGGAAGCTCAACCACTTAAACCCTCAACAAACACAGGAATAATAAGTAGTACAGTAAAACCTCGTTATATTAGCCCCTCCTCCCCCCCCCCCATCTCACATTTAGTCCAATATAGCAAGGTTCTACTGGTATAGAACATGGTAGGGACAGGAGGTTTTCTGGGTTACTGGATGTTTTAATTAACACATGACCTTGGTTGCATTCATGTGGCCGCTGTCAGAAAAGGAAGTCTTTCTATCGTTGCAAAATAAAGAAAGATCAAATGAATCATAATATTATACATGGTAGTCTTATTTTAGTTATAACTACTATATATTGTACAGTACACATTACATATTTGCTCATCCTGGGCTGTGTTATGTGTCATCAGATGGGATGTATCTAAGACAGGCTTCTAAACAAGTAACTAGTGTGTTGTTAGATGAACTGTATATAAAACAAAATACTGTACTACAAAGAAAACTATTTTATCCTCTGATGAACTGTACATAAAACAAACTTTTAAACAAGGAACTATTTTATCAGAAGCTGAAAATCAAGTACTGTACTGTACAGGTAAAACAAAATTCTAAACAAAACTATTTTGTCCTCTCACACTTCACCTTCAGTACCTGGTGGAAGTATCTGCATAAACTTGTCTTGTGCAAGACCTAAATATTGGATAAGAAAGTAGTACTGTACTTATGTGTATTAACTATGTTTAATTGTATAAACATTATTCCTCATATTTTTTCTCACAAATTTCTTGCAAATAATTATACTGAAATTTTGATATGCCGTGTATTTTGAAAATTAATTAACACATTACATTTGAGAATAATGTTAAGAAAAATTCTAATTTAAATGTGTCACTTAATGCTTTTAAAGCTATGTCTAAGTAAAAATTAAGAATTTGCATGTGTAAATTTATAATACTGTGTCTCAACACCTGAAACATATTACTGTACTCAGGAATCAATGATTTTATTCTCCTTAAATAAAAATAAAGAATATCTATAGAGACTTCAGACATTGAATACATTAAGAGATTTATAAAGCACCATTTAAATATCAATTAGGTAACTACAGTCGACATCAATCTACTAAGCTGATGAAAATACAGGTAACAGATATTCAGGATTCAGAATTGGATGGCTCTGGTACTACAGTTAAACCCCCCAAGTGGAGCCCCCAAACACCTTATAGAATTACTGTAACCAAATTATCTAAAAATAACAAAATCAGAATTTTTTGATACTTTATGGTAATTAATCAACTTGAACAATTCTTAGTCACATACAAATAACAATATACAGTATTTACAAATATTCACTAGAGTTTGGGAGTTCAACAGTAGCAAAATGCCCAGCCTATTGTGAAGGCAGATATTCTATGGTCACAGTGGTGTAGTGCTCATAAAGAAGTCACTTTGTATATCACTATGAGAAATTAACATTGCTTTGCAGCAGGCAATTAATTCAGTCAAGGGGGAGAGAAGGAATTAAAATGAACATAAAGAAGAAATATAGAAATATGGACATGGTTGGAAAACGAGACATGGGCAAGAAAGAATGTTGTGAGGAAAGAAGGATACAAGGAAGAAAATATGACTTTGAGAGGAAAACTAGAACAGGGGGGATGTAAAGAACTGCAGCAGCAACATCACCACAAACAGCACATAATAAGCACATCATAACATTACTATAACAGTGGAAGCAATACACACATGCATCCCTACATTAACTAGAACCCTCATATAAAATCCTTCACCTAAAGTCAAGCACATGATACATCTCTGAACACCCTTAATCACTTAGTTGAATTAAGCAGATCAAACTCATTTAGGCTCTTAGGAGGATCAGTCTTTTTGCCAAATTAGAAAAAAAAAGTACAATCCTACAGACACAGACGTGGATTCATTGGAAGCATCTGAATACAGTACCCAACTCCACTGTATCTCACAAGCTATTTTGAGAATATATTTATGGGCCTCTTGCAATGCTACATCTGTGACCTGGACTTCTGGTGCAGAAATATTCCATTTTATGTAACATTACAATACAATATACTGTACAGTATCTAGTAATGGTACATAAAGTAGTTGTTTAAAATTTGTTTAGATAATATTGAACAAGTCAGGTGTTATGAAGTAGGAATAAAATAATGACAGACTTAAGTACAGACAACACCTCCATATAACATCTTATCAAGACGAGTGAATTAAGATGGAGAATATGGAGGAGTAAAATGACTGAAAAAGAAACATTTAAGACACCTGATTGACAGCACAGAATAAAAGAGTGAGGCAAGTCTGTTGAGTAGAAATACAGACTAAATATTAATAAATAAACTCTTTTTGGGAGGAGAGACTGTCCTCTCAAGAATATCCTTATTTTCTTGTGTGCATTTCTAATACTTGTATTTAATTTCTGTCCAAACTATAAAAAAAAAATAACTGTATATTATATCATCAGGACTCCTGATGATATCCAAACTACTCAGACATATTGCTGTTGGGAATAAAGTAAAGATCTTTTCCTATATCATTCAAACTGTTTCCTAAGGCCTAAGCAACAATAACAAAGCATCAGAAAAAAAACACAATTCTGGAGGAGACAAACCTTCAATCTTTGTGTAAGGATGATTTTGGGTGAAGCCTCCATCATTGTTCATGTACACATACACGGCTCCACTGGCCTGGCTTGTGTGGTAGAAGGGAGCACTAACGATAAGGTCATCATGCCTGAAATAACAATAATTACAGGGTCCTGTACCAGGTACACATATACAGCACTGTACAGTACTCATGCTTTTATATCATCATCATTAGCCTGTATCTGTCCACTGCAGGATAAAGTTCATATTTACCATAACCTTTGGTTGCTCTTGTTTAAGAAACTTTTCATCTCATAGAAGAGAATCAGGATCATTGTCCCTGGTCTATGAGTAGTAATTTTCATTACTTGTTTAAATATTAACCAATTTAAAATACCAATGTATACCATTGGTCAATAAGATTTAACATTTACATATAGTTGCCTAAATGAACAAGATTTTTTTGCAAAAAAATGAAGAAAACAAATTAAAGTCAGGGAATATGAGTAGGATGTCCAAGACAGACCAAAACATGTACACTACAGGTACTGCAGTTACATAATCACACACCTGTCTCCATTGATGTCCACAGCAAGAACTTCAAATCCAAAGCTCGATGCAAACATTTCTCCATTGAGTGTCAAGTCTACACGTAGCTGACTTACACCAATTCTTTCACGAGAGAAAAAGACCACCTGACCAGTTTCGTTAGACCTCGGAGCCCCACCTACATATGACATGTAGTTACCAAAGAAGTGGCCGGCTGCTACAGAATAACCTGCAAATATAAGTTTACAGTATTTAGAAACTTGAAGCAAAGAGTAACACTATGTTACTCAGTAAACACCACAGCTGGGGATGGGTGGATCATACTGTACCAGAATCTGTACTGACATGTAAAGATAAAATCCTTGTTATTATTTCTGAATAAATGAATACAGTATCTTTAAATATCAAATACTGTACTGTATTATGTAGTAAGTGAAGAACTTCTTGGTGGAATGATGTTTAGACAATGGTCACCTCAGTCCATTACGATGCCCAAATCCAACGTGACGGGGATTTAATATTTCCTGTCAACTCATAATGACATACTACAGTACAGGTAATTAAGTTGTGCTGCCTAAGCTCATCATTGCTAACCAGTGAACTTCATTCCTTATGTCACACATCTGGCGAAGTCACAAGCTGTTTATCTGGTTCTCTTAAGATAATAGAATTGTTACATCAAACAAGCTAAGCTATAACTATTTACAGATATGATAATGTCATGTGAACATCTTTTTGGTTTAATCTAATACTGTACAGTATACAGTATATACAGTACTGTCTTAAATTCAAAGTCATTATCCTAAGTTCCTTACCCTTTCAACTATGCATATGGGTAAAAAAAAGTTTTATACCCCTTGGTAAATATTGTAAATGTCAACCAACACCTAAATACCTGTTACCGCCACAGTAGGATAAACTAGAAGGGAGAGAGAGAGAGAGAGAGACAGAGGGAGTGTTGACAGCGAGCTTTGCTGAGGTGTTAAATGTGAAACAGATAGCCCTCGCCTCGGGCTACTAGTCTCTAGCCGTCCAGCGAGCTATCAAGTCAGGGAGCTAATAAGTCCTACATTCGACCCAAAATGCGTAAGTTTTTATATGGTTTAACACCCCACTCTACTCAAATATAATATATGTAGTCGTTAATAGTGAAGGAACGTACGATTGAATTAATTATCTCATACGTAACATGTAATTTGTACTCTGCAGGTTTTGACCGAATAAAGAACAATCGAGTCCTACGTGCAAGGGTCTCATTATCCCACAGTCGCTCATTGGGCGGTTACAATACCTGTTAAGCATTGTAGCTAACTTAATCATCAAGTATGGTACAATAACTGTCACCCACATACTGTACCTAAATAACTGTATTTATCCACGGGAGATTCATTCTCTATGACCGGACCAAAGTACTGTGTCTTGTCCTTGAGCAAGAAGTTGTCGGAGATGTTGGAGGTGTGTACGGTCCCTCTCCACGTGTATGGTCCTGGGACACCAATAACAGCTTCATCGTCCAACAGCAAGCCACTAGTGCCCGCCTGACAGAACCCATACTGCAGGTGACCCCTGATCAAGATGAAGAAATAAGAGTTAGAATCTAGATGATATCCCCCTGAAAATAATATATTAGTTAATACATCATGGAAAGTCTAGATATATATGACCCTAAAAAAACAAGAATTTATGATGTGAGAGCATAAATATATCACTTGGAGATTTGCTCCTCCAACTTATTTCAACTGAAGATTAACCAATATAATACTAACCAAGATAGTTTAAGTTAGGTTATATTAGTGTAGAGTAAGTTAAGTTTGGTGGTGTAGAGAAGGGTGGGGTAAGGTAGGAAATGGTAAGATAGGGTAGGGTAAGCTATATGGCAAATATTCTTCAGGGAAATAAACTAGAAAGGGACAATCTTCAGGTGATCTCTCATCCTGGACTTATAAAGTATATACAGTATTGGAACATAAAGTGATAACTGCTGAAGACATGAGTCATAAATGTACAGTATGGCCACAAAATTGCATGAACCAGAATACGGCAAACCAAAAACTCGCTACTGTATATACATTATCACTACAGCACTAACTTCGACTCACTGCCTTCCCCATTTCCAGTTTCCTAATATTATGCCATAATTAAAATACCCCCTCATGTTTATTCATCTCTCGTGGCATGATATCTCTATCTCACTAACTCTAGATCAATATGAAAAACTGTGATACTCTCACAACAATTTCCAAAAGGTGTGTAAATTGAGACTGTACAGGGAGCCCCCCACCCCCCCAAATTCGTGGGGTTAAGTTCTCAAAATGGCAGTGAGTATCCAAATCCGCGAATAACACTGGCGGACCGAGGGGGGGGGGGGGTACATTTTTGCTTGTGTACAAATAAATGTATATTCCCTTTTTGTGTTTGCCCTTAGGATAATTATTTCTTTTACCTGTAGTATTGTATATATGTGTGTGTGTGTGTGTAGACACATACAGTACACACACAAAACACATTCAAATAAATAATAATTGGAGAATCCTCTCACAAATAATCAGAAACAAATTTATTAAAAAATGTGACAGTCTACCCTCAAGTTTTTCTCTATTACAGTACTTTATTAATACACCATGGACTTGAGGGTAGACTGTCACATTTTTAATAAATTTGTTTCTGATTATTTGTGAGAGGATTTTCCAATTATTATTTATTTGTATGTGTTTTGTGTGTGTGTGTGTCTACACACACACACATATTTACAATACAGGTAAAGGAAATTACTGTCTCTAGAACGAATGACTCCCTCTCCCAGCCGCGAAAATGCCGACAACTTTAAAACTACCCACAGACATTCTTGGGTACATCCAGGGTGTCATCCGCGAATAACCGAGAACCATGAAGTAAAAATCCGCGAACTTGGGAGGGCCCCTTGTATAGTGATATCTCTTTCTCATTAACTCTAGAACAATATGAAAAACTATGATACTCTCACAACAATTTCCAAAAGGTGTGTAAAATGAGACAGTATACTGTAGAGACTTTTGCCTTGCCCTCCCTATGTTCTTTAGTAGTTTAATATTTGACAAAGGTTAAGTGGGCATAGTCTCTCTGCCTCTCCCTCTTGTTAAGAAGTGAAAACAAATTAAACAACAAACATGAAACAAATCTAACCTCCATAACTGGTTAGAACAAATTAATACTTAACAGATAATATATTAAAACAAAATACAAATTTCTCATTAATATGTTCAAATAAATTAAAACTTACTAATTATTAAGTTCAAATCCATTAAATATTACTCATACCTGTAGATGAGTCAAAATAAATCCAAACTTACTGATCCACGGGTAAAATTAGATACAAACTTACTTACAGTATTAACAGGTTTAAGCAAGTTAAAACTCATAACAGATTAAAGAGCCATTAATTAGGTTAAAATTAATCCAAACTTACAAACAAAATTAAATAAAACTTACACACAAAAACAAATACAATAAAGTAAAGTAAAGCTTACTCGTTAACAGGCTTTCCTCTACAGGGCTCCAGGTAGTCGGCAACATCAAGGAATTGGGTAAGAATATAACATAGACCAAAGCCCCACTGGAATCCCTTGCCCTTGTGCATGTAGCGATGGGCACACACCTGTCAGGTACAAACATTATTATTATAATAAATAGGTTTATTATTATTATTACTGTATTACATACACAATATAAAGTGTGTGTGTGTGTTCCTTATGCATTTCCGCAGGTTTGAAGAGAGAGAAGTGAAATGTGGTAGGAAGGTGCGGATGGCCTAGGGGTTGGTTGTGCACTGTCTCCTGTCCCTCCACCCAAGTTAAGCCAGGTAGCTGAACTAGTTGTTATTATTACAGTACTGTACTGTATTCTGTTTTTGTACAGGGTATTATTATAATTATTTGTATTTTTTTTTGTTACTTGTATTATAGGACAGTAAAGAGATACAATAATTATAATTATTTTCATTTTACATTAGATATACAGTAGTACTGTACTGTATACTTTTACTTTTACTTTTATCCTCTTTGCCACTGATTGGCTCGTTAGCTGCTTGGGGGGTCAGTCATGTCTCTGATAGACACTGTTGGCAAATACTGGGCATGAATGCACCGGCTCCTAAACATATCGGAACCGTCTCCAGTGTTGGTCAAGTCTGGCCTTGAATGACCTCACACTCAGTGCCGTCACAACACTGGCAGATTGTTCCAAGAGTTCACAACTCTCACTCCGAAAAATTTGCTTTCGCAATTTTCTGGACTTGTGGCTTTTTCAACCATGAGCTGTGACCCCTTGTGGGGTGGACGTCCGCCAGTTCCAGGTATGGATACTCGACTGAATATTGTCCTCTGACATGTTTATACACTTTGATTAGGTCACTTCTCGCCCGTCTGTAGTATAAGCTAGGTAGTTGCAGGCGCTCCAATCTCTCTGGCACCAGTCTGGTGGCCCTCCTTTGGACATTTTCAATCAATTGACAGTCTAGCATCCCTCGGGGACCAGACGGGGAAGCACCTCACTCTTGAAGATTGTGACGAGCGACGGACCATCCAGATATCTAAACGACCTTCTTATAAGACCTACTAGTTTCATTGCCTGATTCACCTTCTTCTCACAATGGCCCGAGAACTTAAGTTCATTGTCGACTTACACGCCCAGGTCTCAATTCATGCAGTCTCTTTGCCCTGTTGGGACATATGATACACCTCCTTACTATTGGTGTGACCCGGGTGCATCCTTTTGCACTTTGTGACATTGAATCTTAGCAGCCATTTCCTTGACCATTCTTGAAGCTCATAGAGATCATTCTGCAGCTCTTCACAGACTGTTTGGTTCTTAATTTCCCTAAATAACTTGGCATTGTCCACAACAGTTTATTATTCTAATAATGTGGTTTATATGATGTATTCTATAGGAAGCATTTTATATAATGTTCAGTACTCTTTATGTTATACTGTACTGTACTACAGCATTTTCGGTCCAAAAGGACAGTTTTTTAATTGGCGGTGACTTTGTGAAGGCCAATAAATGACATTTTGCAACCTTAATTGACAATTATAAAACATGAACTGACATCCTTGGGTGATGCCATGGTTCTCACCCAATCACATAGCAATGATCAGTACAGTAATGCCATAGTATAGGCCTCTGTCACTGGTCACCAACACAATGGAGGCACTCTCTGTGCCTAGAGCACACTGCATTTTGGCTTAAATTTGGCTAGATAGTGGTATTATAGCAGGGGCAGTTCCAGGAATATGAAAAGGGGGGGTCCAAGAAGTTTTGGGTGGGGTAACATGGCAAGCAAAGCGAGCCCACCCAGCTGGGGGGTTTTGGGGTGGGGTGCTGTAAGCCCCCAAGAATTTTTTTTGAAATCTGACCAATATCCTGGGCAATTTGAAGCCATTTTGAAGTTATGTACACACCTGATATTAGGAGATATTCCGAGGTCAATAGTAATTACAATCTCTCCTCGACTTACGACAACCCGGACATACGACGGCCATGGTCGTATAAAATATTTTTCACATTACGTATTTTCGAGTCCCGATGTTAGTGATCGCGCTGTGTACTGACAAAATTTTTGTTTGTAATTCCCTTTAAAATGGCTGGCAAGCGTAAAAGTGAGAGTTCTCGTGGTGCTGAGAAGATAAAGAGACACCCATTTTAGAATTTCTATGTATTATTTACGCCTTTTCGACTTACGACCAAATCGATTTACGACCTGGTCGTCGGTACAGAACCCCGACGTAAGTCGAGGAGAGACTGTACTTTTTACTGTACAAAAATGCCTGAGTACACTACTGGATCTGCCCTTGTTTAGTGGGAATTTTTTTCTAAACCAAATTTAGGCAATACAGTATCAAGATTCTACAAAATAAGACATTACAGTACTACAGGGGGCTAAAAGAATGTAGCCCCCATAGTGATTACCCCCTCCCCTTCACCCAGTTAATCTGAATGTGTTCAAATTCAATGACCCAAAAGTTGTGACATGGCTCAGGTATCCAGTAATGTACTGAAGTTAAGTCTCTCTACCAAATGATGAAAATTTAGGTTTTCATACTGTTGTGGGGATTAATGTACAGTAGTACTCTATACAGTGTGTACATGTGTTACCTCCTCCCCTCCCTGGAGTGTCCCAGGGGGTTTAGGAGAGGATGATTATCGTGAACCAGGCTGGCTACTTTATTGGGTGTAAATTACGAGATTCAGTACCTTTCAATTCATTCTTATTCATATCTAGGTTCAGGCATTATCATTCTTATCCTGTACCATAATGTTGCTATATGGAAATTATTGAACCACTACTGTAAATCCAAATACGTAAATAAACATTTATACTTATAGTCCTGAATAAAATATTGGCATGTGAATACAACCAACTTAGTTATTACAAGAAAATTTCTCAGCTTAAATTGACTGACATATAATCTGCTGCCCTCTAAAACTTTAATCATTACTTTTGTCTCTACTTCTCTATTGGAGAGGGACCCTCCCCCCCCACCTGACTTCGAGTACATAATTACAGTACTGCAACATTACACAATACTGTATGAGAAGGTTAAGTGACCAATAGACGAGAAGTTCTTACCAAAACTTTGCCACCAGGTCCCTGGCTCTTGAGGGTGACCCCGAGCCACTGGTCATCTTTAATTTCATCCTCCGTGGGTTCTGACAATACATCATTTTCATCTGAAAGAAGTGGAGTGCGTTACAATGTTACAATGGAATGTTAAAATGATGGTAACATACTTGGCCTGCTTGACCTACCTTATGATATTAAACACATCTCACATCTGATTTATTTACTGTATTTACAAAGCACAGTGAAAGCTTACAAGAAAACTAGTCATATCATGACTGAATTATACATTTTACAATATATACAAACTGTATACATACCAATCACAATAAGCAATAAATTTACAAGACATTTTCCAAAATCATTTAAAAAAGCTCGTTCTCTATATATACTGTAGTACAGTTACAAGCTAAGCCTTAACTATTAAAAATACTGATAAACGATGCAAGAATAAAATTCATTGTGACAAACCAAAACGACAACATTATAGCTGCCATAACCAAAAGTCATAACCAAGCATATCATTCAAGCATATCATATCATATCATATCACAGCCCAGAATGTGTCCAGGAAACTGATGATCTAAATCTGATGACACACTTTTCACTTGATCAAGAACTACAGAAATAGCCTTTGAAATTAATGTCCCACCTCAGGTATGTACCTGTATCAGCATCTCACATTCATATAAAAATGAGCACAATACAGGTACAGTACATGACTGACTGATGATTCATTAACAAAAATTATTACTACAGTAATACAGAAGAAAAAAACATTAAAATAAAAATATAAAAAACTCATTTGCAAATTTATATTTATAACAGTAAGTGGTTCTTATTTATTTAATTATTATTATTATTTTGTGTGTGTGTGGGGGGGGGAGGCTTGAGATCTGTTTTAAGAAGATAATTATAGTACTGTACTGTCCAATATTTCAGTGGTCGAGGAGGTAGGAGGCGTGTACTGAATGCAACATATACTTTTAACATACAATATTCAGCAAACTTATTTCTTGTATTTTTGTTCAAGTTCAGTGTGTCAATCAGGTCAAGATTTATATTTCCTAGATACAATTTCATTACCGTACATGCCACTCATAGACCAAACTGGAACTTATGTAGAGGGATTGTTGCAGTTTTAAGTCCAGCTAGTCATTTCTAAGAACACCTAACTGGCTGACTGACTGAGAGAACTTTTTGACACGCCTACATTTTTTTATTCTCAGTCAGAAAAAAATACAATCCCTTTAATGTTCCAGTTTCATCATACATGGGAAAAACAAAGCAGTTTCCTCATTGCCACGAATAAAATTTGTTGCATATGGAACTTAGGAAAACCATGACAGCACCTAAAAAATATAAAGCACGAAATACTAACAAACCTAATTATGTCAGGCAATAAAATAAAAGATACAAAAAAATGCAAAAAAAAAAAAAAAAAAAAAAAAAATATATATATATATATATATATATATATATATATATATATATATATATATATATATATATATATATATATATATATATATATATATATATATATATATATATATATATATATATATATATATATATATATCCTCTTGTGCTTCTGTCACTTCTTAAAATCACAGACAATCACTAAACTGTTGTACTGTACAGTACAGTACTGTGATCTAAACATACAATACTGTACTGTATTGTACTTGAGTAAAATACAGAATAATTCCAAAAGTTATCTCACTGACCTTTATTTTTTTCCTTTGACATCTCCTATTCCAATTTTACTGTAGTTTAATATTCAGTCAATCTTAAGACTGTATTTACTCTACATCCCCAAGTAATGTTAAGAAATGAGAGAAGCAACTCACTATTTGGGTTCCATCATGCTTAAATAACTCAAAATGCAACTGAAATAAACATAAAGACAACCTTAAGCTAAAATCAACCACTTATGAAACAGCAGCTCACAGTAACCTACTCTGGAAAAAGGTGATGCAACTGAAAATATAATAAAAAAGGGGAGTCGTACCAAAATAAAAAGGTGAAAAATACCAAAGTCCTGCTTGAAAGGGACAGACATGGAAGTGTGGAAAATAAAATATATATATGAGGAAACTTTAGTACCAAATAATATGAAATATGAGAAATAATATGAAAAAGGAAAATTAAAAAGAATGGAAGGACAGTCATGAAGTGTCAAGGAAAAATTAAGAAATAAAAACGAAAAGAAATACAGAACTTAAAGAAAAAAACGATGAAAAAATTGGGTGTAGGAGCACAAGAAAGTGAGAATTTGGCTACTGACAACTGTAAAATTTTAAGTGTAAATTTTCTCCCTTGAAAATTTATACACAAGTCAACAGTCAAACTTTCACCTCTTGTGTTCACTTGCGAAATGATAGAGGATAAAAAAGTAAATTATTAAGAAATAGGTTAAATATAGTTAGATTAGGTTAAGTTAGGTTAGGATGTGTGTAAAGAAATAATGTTAAAAGAAAATGGTAAAAAATCTAAGAAAATTATGAAAATATTAAGAACTCAAAGTAAATGGTAAACAATAAATAAATATGGATGTACAAACTGAGGTGTAACTAGGATTTGTGAAGGATAATGGAGAGGTGAGGGGGGAAATGAGAGAGGAGAGGGAGAAGAGAAAGAGGGAAAGGAGTTGGAGGAAATGGGAGAGGTGAGGAAGAAATGGGAGAGGAGGAGGAGGAAGAAATGGGAGAGGAGGAGGAGGAGGAAATGGGTGAGGTGAGGAAGTAATGGGAAAGGGTGCGGAAGAAATGGGAGAGGATAAGGAGGAAATGGGAGAGGAGGAGGAGGAAAAGGGAGAGGTAAGGAAGAAAAGGAAAATGGGAGAGGTGAGGAGGAAATGGGAGGGGTGAGGAAGAAAAGGGAGAGGAGAGGAAGTGATATGGATTGGAGAGGAGAGGGAGGACTATGGAGAGGAGAGGGAGAAAATGGGAGAGACTTCAGAGGAGAGGGAAGAAATGGGAGGGGAGAGGAAGGAATGTGGAGAGGAGAGGGAGGAATATGGAGAGGTGAGGGAGGAAAAGAGAGAGGTGAGGAGGAAATGGGAGAGGAATTGATGCAGAAATCATGCAAATTGAAACCAAAAAATGCATAAACAAAATTCATGCATATTCACACTCACTTCTTGCAATATTGGCCATTCAGAAGCACATTCACTAGCAATAAAGATTCTGAATTTGTTAGAGAACATATTAATAATTATTTCCAGTGTTAGTTCAAACTTCATAAAGATGATTTTTTAAAGCGGATATTTTGAGTACAGGTATTTCAAATTATACCTTTTGGCTATTAGTAATAAGCACCAAAACTGTGTCAGTAATTTGTTCAGTGCATTTTGTTCCTGCCTACCAAACAGTTAAGCAGTAATTGGTCCCTACATCTAATTTTGTAGGAGAAATTATATAAAGCTTCTTCAGATGTGGGAATAATGAGAACTGTAAATACCTTAAACCCTTCTTTATATTGGATATTTTATAAACTCTGTGGGATTTTTAAACATAGTAATTTCATACAGTGTATATAAATGGCTCACACAAAATTATTCACATGAACAGTATAAATTTTTTCTAGTGGAAGTTATGGGAGATAGTCTACTAGCCCCTTGTGTATGGGGTCCCCCTCTGAGCTGAATCAAATTGTCTTGCTGTAGCTAAATAAAATATTAAAAGTGGCATCCCTGTAGTGAAAGGATTAAAAATATACAGTAATTAACGTAATAGGTCTTGTGCTATTATTTGTATACAGTACTTATGTCACTTACTTTACCCCCCCTTCATGTACTTCAATTACGTCTGTACTGTTAGGAATTTAAAATCTGTATCTCTTAACAAGACTTGTCTTTGTACATTAACATTCAATACAATTTTTTTATTTTGGGTTTATCGCCAGAAATTTTGCAAACTTCTATCTCACGAAGTTTGGATAAATGTACAGTACATTACATATACTGTATTATAAATGACAAAAGCTATTGATAAACTGTTTCATTAGCATGTTCACTGTACTGGATCACTATCTCGGGCGTAGGAATATTTCTAAGGCACCATTATCTTACTGAAGGTTAGAGCTCAGTTAATTTTTATTCATTATAGGATTAAACATTCTTTAGTTTCCCTCTGTTCTCTCATCACATATTCTACCTACAGTGAAGAGCATATCAAATGATAATCTTCTAGTACAGTCATTTTTTATTTATATTTTTCGTAATAACTCATCTTAAGCGTATTATTCCATGGATGTGAGCTAAGTTGCGCTAAAAGATACAGCATAGTCACTTTAGTGTGTTCTTCACCAGGAGCAGCAGAAGCCTTCCCTGGTGGACATAAGGAACACCATTAAATTCTCCTTGCTAGCATCATGGAAATAAATTATGCTTGTTGAGTAAGTGGAAGCTAGCATATTCATTATTTATGTGCATTGCAATAACCAAAACTGTGGTGATGGGGAGGATAATGGCGTTACAGAATATAGAGCCATGGTCGAACGGCATGATTGCTTGCTAGTAATTATAGCTATGATTTGTTAGTGCAGTATCTAGGAAGACGTGGATTGAGGAATTAAACCAAACAAGGCATTCCAAAAAATCACACACAATTAGTCGTTATATTATTTCAAACTCCAATTCTTTGTGATGCTGGTAAATAAAAAAAAACAATGGAGGATGCTGTTAAGTTAATGGTAAGGAGGGCAATGGTGATGTGTTGTGACAGTGAGTGTGTGGTGGTGATGGCCAAGACAGGGATGACCTAGTGAATGGTTCATTTAAATGACTCAAATGGGTTTGGTTTGGTTGGGTTGGGTTCATTTTGGTTTCAGTCCAATTATGATCCATTTATGGTTCATTTGGATCAAACAGGGTTCAATTTCTGGTTCAAAGGAGTTCAATAAGGCTTCATTGTTGGTTCACTTGGGCTGTTTGAATCCATTTGGGTTCATCTAGGATTACTTGGATCCATATGAGTTCATTTGAGCTAAGAGACACCACACTCCTGAGTCATAACAATGCGATATTAAGGCGTGGTTGTCACTCTTAACTGACATAGTGACAGTTGCCAGTATGACAGTTGAAGCAGAATATGACAATGAAAAACGTATGATATATGGAGTGGCAGGATGGAGCATATGACAGGATTGGCAGGTGAAGGAGCACATGACAGGATGGAGTGTATGACAGGTGAAGGAACACATGACAGGATGGAGTGTATGACAGGTGAAGGAGCACTTGACAGGATGGCGCATATGACAGGTGAGGGAATATATGAGAATTATTATTTCGTGCCATATCACGCCCGCCCCAACAAGCAAGATTTAAGTAAGTGTTTGAGGGACATAGCCGTGATTTAAGGCAACACCGATACAAGCAGAGGAAAGCTTTTTTTTTCAAAGTGCTTGCCAAGAGGGAGGAGGTGCGACAGGGTGCTGTAGGTGGAGGAGATGAGTATAAGGTGCTATATGTGTGAAGCCAATGATTTTGTTAGTCAATCCAAATATGGTGAAGCCTCATGCTCGATTGCGATGCCACGGGACTCGGCGGCGATAGTGGTAGTAGTGGTGGTGTGGTAGTGGTGGTAGGTGGTGATGGGGGTGGGGGTTAAACTTACAGTCAAAGTTGTAGAGCCCTGTTTCCGGATCTGTTGGAAATAAGCAACACACATAACGTAAGACAAACATATATCTTTCTTTGAAGAATGAATTTTATAAAAAAAAAACATTTAAAAGCGAACATCAATGGGAAACGACATCCGCGTCCACTGTCTTCTCTTGAGCTTGTCCTGACAGCCTAATGGCACAGCTTTTTTTACAATAGTATATTATTTATATATTCACTTGGCAGCTGATAAGGTTTTTGTAAAAAAAAATTAACAGCCCTAAATACAATCGAATGTACATTAAGAGTACTGTATTGTATATCCAGATATTAGTCATTAACATTAACAGCTGTTACATAGAATTAAATCCCCAGTTTCGTCATCAAGATACAACCACTGCTGGATAAGTAACTCTAAACTGCAGGGAGCATCATCATCCTCAACTTACATTAATCCACTGCTAAAAATATCACTTCCCTAAATTTTGCATCATCATCAGTGGTGGGTGAAGACCTCCCTCTATCTTCACCTTCCTCGCCCGTTGCATAATTGTTCTACTTACATCATACTACCTAATAACTCTTCTCCACTGGGTGCTTCCCTGTCTTCACATATTAGTCCTGCATATAATCCTAATAAGCCAAGAGTCGCGAGGGAAATATAATTTACAACTCGTAGACAAGGCTGAACGATCACCACTAGAGCTTTCTGGCATGAACTTGAACTGTCACCTGTTCTCTTGTTAACAGAATGTTGTCCCTGTGTTTATTAACTGTGAAGCAAACATTCTACTCCAACTGCTCACAGTCTATACATGTTAAATGGAGACAGACAGACAGACGGACATATTTAATCACAAACCTAACGGGCCATTACCGGCATTATCCACTACAGCATACTGAATACTAATCCTTCGATACACAGAGTGACCGGCCGGCAACACACTCTACCACCTTATTTCCTTAATTGTAATGTTAGGTACCCAATCTGCAGCTGAGTGGACTCGGGGCGCTCCCACTCTGCGGGACTCGATCCAGAGACCTCTAGGTGAAAAAGCGAGTGATACACCACCCTATAGACACTACTAATTTAAGTTTATCAGCCGACAATATATATCACCGTGTTAAGGGAGCACGGTTTATTTTCACCTACAACATACTACTACAACTAACAATAATGTTGAATAACGTGCCATACAACTGTCAGGAGAAACGTAAACATAATGACAAGGAGACACAAACATCATTTCCCGATTCATGCACAGAGAGAAACTGAGCAAATGAAGAAATAATGTATTGTAGAACTTTTAGTTAGACTGTTTTGTGATATTTAATGGTGTCACTTGTAACTGGACACACTCAACTGTAGTTCTGTACAATTTTAAAATATTGTTAAAAAATGTCTACAGTGAGAAGAAGAAATTAAATAGTTGAATATATCAATACTACACAGATAGAAGGTGCTAATGGTTCCTCACCCCGGCTCTTGAGGACAATAAATATGGTAATATTGACTAAGATTTCCCGATTCAATTTTTAATGGGTAAAATATTAATAGAAGAATGAGTTAGGCCCTGGAGGCAGGAGTGAAGAGACATACAGCCAGAGAAACATCAATTACAGTCGGGAGCAGAAGATGTCAAGAGTGCGGTACAGGTCACGTCTGTGCGAGCGGGAAAAAACATGAGGAGGTGGAGCCGTATATGGTAGCCTAGTAGTAGTAGCAGTCTTATATGGCTACATTCGGCGCCTCCTACAGCAAATTAGCCGTCTCAGCCACATTTTGGCAGTATTTGTACAGCAGCATGCACGTCATTATGTATACAAATGGTGGACCGCAGCAGGCCGTCATGTGGGGCCCCCGAAGGCAAGATGTACCGTGTTGGAAAAGTACCATGGTGAATAAAACCGCTAAACTATTTATTTTTTCTTCACGAACCAACCAATCACAACGTAAACTAACGATCCTGAAGGCAGTTTGAGTTATTTTATGTTTGGTTAGTCATTGTCGTCTGAATTAAAATACCACAAACAGGACCGTTAATTTTTTTCAGTAAAGGCGAACTAAACCTTATCTAATTGACCCTAACTGAGCGATTCTAGTTTTGGTAAAGATAAACCAAACTGGACTGAATAAAACTGCCAGACTTAATGTATCGGCGATCCTACAGTAGTTTTGATTGGTTCGTGTTATCTCCTTTAAAAAACACGACTCAACCAAACCAGCCTTTACTAACCTTAACCTAACTACAAGATAGTTTTAGCTAGATTAGATAAGGTTTAGTTGGATCACGGCATCTAGCAGAAAAAAAAATTGTTCAGCGGGCCTGCTCTTGGCTCTTTCCCAACACTGTACAGTTTGCAGCCAGAGAAGTCGAGGCGTTGGCAGAGGTCGTCGAGCTCTTGTCCTGACCACTTCACTGTCTCTTGTAGTATTTCAACGGGAAATGTCGCAAAAAACCTTACTGTCTCTTGACGGTAAACAAAACAGTACGTGTCTCACACCTTATACTAGTCGTTGATTTATAATTAACCTGAATGCCTGGAGGGGAGGAAAATTATCTTGCAAAACCTTTTGAAAAACTAGTTCCTAAATGATTGTTGATTATCATATATTTAATCCTCGTTCTGATTCTCAAAGGTTCGTACGTCTTTTTTTTCTAAGTGGGAGGGGAGAAAATTAATTTTTCATTGGTCTTAAGATATTTCCGAGAATAACTTACCCGTTATTATCACTGGTGCGACATGACAGCCAGTCCGATGAGTGTGTTCCCAAGATACGTAGGAAAAAATAACTTAAGAACCTTTGAGGATCCACGCTTATATTAAGATAAATAAAATAATTTGACTAATTAACACAAATGATCAGAACACCAGGTGAAAATTTCAAAATCAAACTTACGTTAAATAATGAACATCTTCTAAAATGGCCTTATCACCTTTGCAATATAAAGTATTTAATCCACGTATCTATTTCTATAGCAAACTTACACTGAAAGATGGCAACTTCTAAGAGACCTACTGAGTACTCATGCTTGAAATATAAAAATACAGTGATGAAACTACACAGCCTATTGCTAATTGAAATTACACCAAGACATGACAACTATAGGATGCCTATCGACACTTAATCAAATTTCAAATAAATATATACATTAGAACTACAAATAAATCTAATAATCTAACTTATAAAAAAAGTTGACAATTTCTAAGATTCTCTCCCAAGCTTGATATATGGAAATGAACATTAGATCTGTGTGGAGGTAAATTAAACGAACTATTTAATATACGGGCGGGTTGAATCACTTAAAATTTCTATTACCACTTAACGAGGACGCGACTGACCACTTACTAGGGGGTTATATTTTACCTTGAACAGTCATTAACTATCTACGTTCTTAACCTATTAATATAAATGAGAAAAATTGACGAATTTACTAATGAAACTTGTATCAGTACCAAGTTTGTGCAATGACTACAGTATTTAGCTGACATGTAGGCCTACTGTGGAATTAGTGTGTACACCACTATGTACTGTGAGACTACTGTGTACACCGCTATGTACTCCACAAGTGTTTTCCTTACTGAACTTGATATCTTAATATACAATTTGTGGAATGAAACTACAGTACATCCCCCTCACAGGCGTATTCAAATGACTGTTGTACTGTACTGAACTGTGCTCTGTTGAACAGGTACTTGTCGTCTCAATTGATATACAACTAGTAAAGTAAACTGTATCACTGGCACTGTAATAGTTACAGTGACACAGTGTCTCCCAGTTGTATTTTGTTGGCCCGGCGTCAATACTTCTACCATACAGACAGTGAGATGACCATAGTTAGAAAAACACCACGAACAAACCACTGAACTGTTTACCTACTAAATCTGTTTTGAAAGTTGATGACCCAATTATACCCTAACCCAAATCAATGTTGTTAGAATATTTTTGGTTTGGTTAGATTAGTTGTGATGGGTTTGTGTCCTCTAAAAATAAATCATTCAGTGGTCGTATTGTATTCGTAGTTATTTGGTTTTCATAACATTGATCATCTTGCGTAAAGACAAAGGTGTGTGAGTACTGTATGTGGCTTTGTCGCGTCCGAGAAGCAAATAATTGTCATCAGTATTATCAATGAAAGCATCGTTAACTCTGGTCTTACTTTTAAACCCAAAACATTTCTTTGGAATTCAGTTAAATTAATATATGTTCTGAACTACAGACCAAAAATTACAACCAAATGCACAAGTTAACCAAAGCGAATTGTCAACCTTCTTGTTGTTCAAAGGTTCGTGATGTCACATTCACACTTTCTTAAATGTCAACTTTTGCTTCGTACAGTACAACTAACACACAACTGTCTAATTATCCGATTTCTATAGCTTACAGTCTATTGTTTAAAGTCTATCATAGCAATTTGTCTGTTTGAATTAAAGATGATGAAGAGCGGAAATACAGGAGGGTGGGTGGTGGTGTGGCGGGGCGTCCACCACTACTCACTCTTGAAGCCGTCCGTGTGCACTTGTAGACAGTCGTCGGTGCGGGTGGTGAGAGGACATTTCCACAGTGCCCCTGACCTGTTGGTGCCCGGCTGTAGGTTGTCGCCCTTGGGTGCTCCTACCAGTATCCTGCAAGGAGATAAAGGGTTATTGTCAAATGTTTATATCTGACTCTCAGTATTGGGGGTCACCAGAATGTCACTGTAAAGATAAATTTTATACCATTTGTTTTTATTTGGACACTAATCTGACGTCAGGATATGAGCTTTTTTCGTACGCAGATAATTACGTACGGCATCTTATTACGTACAGTATCTTATTAATATACTTAATGTACACAATAATCTTATGCTGTTTTGGGTCATTCTTTTCATGAGAGATTTGCATGGCAGTCATCACAACACACAAAGACATAGACACTGAGGTCAACGTTCCTACACAGATACTTCCCCCTCGGGTGGTTGTAGAGTACAGTAATGAAGGCCCACTGCATCTACCTTACCACTTTTGGTGAGATTTTAAATTCTTAAAGTTAACCTAAACACAGTGGGAGTGTTCCTAAGTATATCAACGTCTGTAAGGCATTGGCCTCCGTGGACCACAATCCTATTACCAAATCTAGACCATCAGGGTATTAGTTAGTGGTTTAATTAACAAGTGGTCCACATCTTACTCAACATGTAAGAGTCTGCTGTTTACTTAAATAGAGGAAAGAAGTCACAAACGGACCACATTATCCTAACCTAACGTGACATAAACTAACCTAACGTAACCTTAACCTAACCTTAATCTTAACCTAATATAACTTAACATAAACTAACCTAACGTAACATTAACCTAACGTAACCTAAATCTTAACCTTAACCTAACCTTAATCTTAACCTAATATAACTTAACTTAGACTACTCAAAAGATGTGTCTATATATCCTAGGATCTTTTTCCTTCCCCAAATTGTGACTTTATTCAAGTAACTTTTATTTTCCAAACACTTTAGTTTACATGAGTGACTCTCCGTATACTGCTTCTTGTACGATATCCCACAAGGCTTCATCCTGGGACCAGTTCTGTTTATATTCTGACGTGTGTAAATAGCATTGGGTAACTCCAGCGCATAAATCAAATACCTCCTATTCGCTGACGTCCATTAAATAGCTCCCCGGTCCCTCACAGGCGCCATGAGTAGTGAGTTAGTTGACGTGAGCCGTTAGATCATGTGTTTTAAATTAACCCTCAACCTTGATCAAACTCATTCTATAATTTTCTACTGAAGGACTACTGTATAACCCCTAGATTGTATTTATTGGAAAGAGCAACATTTATTAAGCTAGAAAACTGCTAACCTAACCTAACCTAAATGCTTATGGTATAATTACTTAATAACACCTATGCCGGATTATACCCCGTACTTAGTGTATTCATAATAAAATCAACCAACTATGCGTCATCAATCAATCCATTATTCCATCAATCACTCAATCACAACTGGCTGAGGCGACCCATAACGATAAAGTTCCTGGTTGAGAGTGACGAGGTGGTCCACGGGCGTAGGGTGTGGTTAAGTGTGACTGACAGGGTTCTTCGCCACGCCCATCACACGATAGTAATCTTTACCAAATGGCCTCAGAAGTAATGAAGTATTATAGAGGTTAATAACTTCGGACAGATATGTGAGGTAGAGCGTTCATAATGGCTCTAAAAGGTCACGATAAAAACATAATCACAGCAACACAACTTGCACCACGTCAACACCCAGGGGTTTTTCTACGTCTTATCCGGATTCACAAAGGTTCGCACGATGAATAAATCTTCCTGAGATATACGAATCCGCCTGATTGGTTGATTAGTAAAAGGGGTAAAAATTTACATCCAAAAAAAACATGTTAGAAATGGGTGGAGTTTGTTAAGAAGCGGACGATGCTCATTCGACAGTCAACTTCTTAACCATCATTATCTCTCACGAGTTAACTATGAGAGGCACTGAGGTCTGACTCTCCCTCCCGTGACACACAAACAAACCTCAACAAAAACAATAAAAAAAATGCTGGAAACTGAACTTGGTTTTGTGTTTGTGGTTCTAACAAGGAAACTTTATGATGTCACGTGTACACACAGTCTGGCTACACCCACAACATACATGATGTTTTGTACACACAGTATGACCACAACGTACAGTACTTGATGTTATGTGTAAAGTCTGGCCACATCTACAACGTACATTTTTTTTTTTACGGGGTTTAGCCCACCGGGCACAGGTCACTGACCTACATCGGGGCCTGGGGGGAGCGAAAATGTAATAATAATATTAATAAATAATAGTCATAATAATTCATAATAAATAAAATTTATTATAAAACAAACAAAAATAAAATAATAAAATAATGATGATAATAATACAGTAACTGTAATAATAATAATAATAATAATAATAATAATAATAATAATAATAATAATAATAATAAAGAACTATAAATACAAAAATGAAAAAAAGATCAAAAGTGAGAAACGATATACAGTATGTATGTTGCGTTGTCAATGGTAAGAGAAACAATTGAGACCTGCAGTTGTGTGTAAATGAAGCAGAAAGTCAGATCACCAACCTGGGACTTGGTCATATGGCAGCTGGGTCTACCATTAGACAACACATTGTGCTTCCAATATCTTCCCAGGCAGTAGTACCTCCCTGTTTGGTAGCTGCCTACTACCTACCCAAACATGACTACACCCATAACGCACATGATAATACATATACATACATCGTGACTGTCATATGAGTGCGTGACATTAATGGATCTGGGACCTTTACTGTGTATAATTGGCATCGAAAAAGAACAATGGAAGGTCTCTCTCTCTCTCTCTCTCTCTCTCTCTCTCTCTCTCTCTCTCTCTCTCTCTCTCTCTCTCTCTCAAAATAACCAGATCCCCTCACACCTGCCCTTAGTGGTGAAGATTGCGATAATCTCCAGGATGTGTGTGTGTGTGTGTGTGTGTGTGTGTGTGTGTGTGACAGCATGGGTAAGTATGTGCGCACTGACACGTGTACGTTATCATGAGTGTGTGGGTGTAGACATGTGCAAGTTGTTTGTTCAAGTGTTTGCGAATCCAAATTTATGTCGTAACTTTAGTGAATCCGTTCTCACATCTTAAGTTACAGGGAAACATTACGACTGAGGCTCGTTGGAGTGTCTGGTTGGTGTTGTGTGAGGTGGCTGGTAAACTTGAGTATTTGTTGACAGTAACCATCTGAGGAGGCCACTACACTGTGTGCCTTGTAGATCAGTCTGTCCAGGGTAAATACTGTCTATCTATCTATCTATCTATGTTGTCAATGTCGCCGCCGCCACCACTTGCTATACCATCACTATTACCACCATCACTACAACCACTACCACCACTACTACTGCTTCCACCACCACCACCACCACCACTACCATCACCCGGGTTCACCATTGGCGGTAAAGTGTAATTTTCATTAGAGACCATTGATAGCGGTAACCCGCTGTCCAGAAACTCCCCCCATTCCTTCCTTCTTTCTCTTCTTCCCTCCTTCTTTCCTCCCTTCCTTCCATCCCTTCCTTCCATCCATCCCTCCCCCTCTTCCATCCCTTCCTCCTCTTCTTCCTTCCCTCCCTACTTCCATTCGTTTCTTCTTTCCTCTTCTTCTTCCATCCCTTCCTCCCTCTCCTATACCCTCCTTCCCACCTTCATCTATTCCCTCCCTACTGCCCTCCTCCCCCTTCATCTTTCATCCCTCCCTCCTTCCTCCCATCCCTTCCTCATCTATGCCTTCCCTCCCCTCTCCATTCCTCCCTTTCTTCTTCCCTCTCTACACTTCCTCTACCATCCCGTTGCAATTTCCACGTTTTTTCTCGTCTGTTTTTATTGCAGTTGAGCCAAATTCAAGGGCGATACCTTGTCCCATCATCAGTTAGGAGGGATATTTAACGTAGGAACCTTTGAGAATCTGCAGGGTGGTAGCGTACTAAATGACCTCATTATCAAAGTATGCAATTGCAAGGTCGCCCGGGTGACGTCATCAGTAGGAGTCTGGCGTTACTACTACTACTAATAATGATGATGATGATGATGATGATGATGATGATACAAACAAACTTCCATATAATGATTAATATTCTTCCTATCCGGTGATGTGAAGATGTATCTGACTGACTGACTGGCTCACTCAGGAGTAAGTTATGGCACAAAGAAAGAGAGAGAGAGTACGTGTGTGTGTGTGTGTGTGTGTGTGTGTGTGTGTGTGTGTGTGTGTGTGTGTGTGTGTGTGTGTGTGTGTGTGTGTGTGTGTGTGTGTGACTTTCTATAAGCCGTAATCCTGGCTATACTCAACAGGACCATACTGTTGATACTCCCCCTCCCCTGCCCCTCCCCCTGCCCTCCCTCCTGACGGTGAGTAAGTGGGTAAAGGTGACTCATGAGGCCCTAGGGATGACCTACTGTGAGATGAGAAACCCCTATTGATCTCACTTATTCATTCAGTATTACAGTCTGATTATGGGACCGTGTGTGTGTGTGTGTGTGTGTGTGTGTGTGTGTGTGTGTGTGTGTGTGTGTGTGTGTAGAGAGAGGAAGGAAAGACAAAGATTGATTTAAGGAAATTTCACTGACTGGACGACCATATAAACGAACAGAAAACAAAGAAAGATGATAAATAAATCGGTAATAGTGACTCATTAGGCTCTGAGGCTGATCTATAAAGAGTTAAGGAGACTCGTTCATTCACTCACTCACTCCAAGATCACTTACTGCTACTTATGTTTTCGTAGTGAAAGTTTTTATCAATCAAGTGAGTCATTCCCTAATTATGTAACCTTTTATCATCTGTGTTTCGTGTATATTTTCAGCCTTTTATCTGCCATGTCCTTTCAATAAACCTTTAGCTGTTATTATTATTATTATTATTATTATTATTATTATTATTATTATTATTATTATTATTATTATTATTATTATTATTATTATTGTTATTGTTATTATTGTTGTTGTTGTTGTTGTCGTTAGTAATAGCAGTAGTAGTAGTAGTAGTAGTAGTAGTAGTAGTAGTAGTAGTAGTAGTAGTAGTAGTAGTAGTAGTAGTAGTCGTGATCATTAAGGCGCCCCGAGTGCTCACAGG